AAATAAAGAGGTTTTTAAAAGCAGTAACTATACATATAATTTATTTTAACCATTGAATTGGAAGCAGCAACATTTATAAGTGAACTAGACCAAAATGAGATATTGTCTACTATCAAAAAAAGAAAAGAATTTTGCGTAAAGCCTATTCACTACACGGCACACCAACTGGATCCAAGATAATTGTGGTGTTTGTCTAAGTGATGAAAAGATAAGTATGGTTGTAGAATATTTACGAAAAGTGTCTATAACGTCAGGCATTGAAGTTGCTAAAGTACTTAAAGATATGGCAAGATTTTTTTATGAAATCAAAGCGATTTGCGCTGCAGTCAAAGAGTTGGAACCCAGAATATGGTGGAATCCATTCGTATCTAACCGAGAGATTTGCTAAAATAGCCATAAAAACTTCAGTGTGCCCCCATCGTTTGCTGCTTCGAAACGCAATTGGAGTCTTTTTTCTAGAACGCATACCAAAGGCAGAAACAGGCTTCATAATTCAAGAACCGTGAAATTGATGTCCATTCGGTCCAATGTAAGCTTGTTTGCAACGGGAAGGCACAGTCAACGTTACAGTTTCTGACTCATCAGATGAAGATAGCGATATTAGTGATAGAGAATGCGAGATAAACGAAGACGATCCAATTTTGTAATTTATTTATATACACGCGTACGTACACGCTCGATATATTGTTATAGACGTAGTTCATAATAATTGAAAAAAAAAAACAGTTTTTTTGTATTTCTATTCACTAACAAGCATAAATTGCGGTTAATTAACCGTTATTAACAAAAAATGCATTTTTAACCACTTGGTTAAAATTGTTATCAACCGGCTTCGCATCTATACTGACTGACTGCACGGATAGCGTAGTGGTTTAAGCGGTCGCCACGCCACTTTCTATTGCGCTGAGTGTTGTGGGTTCAAACCCCACATGGGATAACACTTTGTGTGATCCACACATTGTTGTTCTGAGTTAGGTTAGGTTAGTTGTTCTGAGTCTGGGTGTACTTTGTGTCCGTTTCATGTATGTTTGTAAAGTCCCCCGCGACACAGGATTTATTCCTAGTGCGGGAGTTGTCTTTTTAAAAAAAAAAAAAAAAAAAAAAAAAAAAAAAAAAAATACTCCCTACCCACGCTTCGAAGCTTCGAAGCTTAGGAGGACAGCAAGCAAGACAAGCAGGACGGCTCCGACGGCGCGTTAGTTAGCACAGCCCTGGATTTCGTGGCGATCCGAATGGCTATCAACCGCTGCAGGCTTCTGATTAGAGCCTTGCAGCGTGAGACATTTATTAGACCAGACGGGCGCCCCATAGAGGGCCATGAATCGCATGACGCCCATGTGGAGGCAGCAGGATTGGGCAGCAGACGATGCAGCGCATCCGCTACCCCCCGTCACTCAAACGCGGGGAAAATAATATGTACCTACCTAACTATATTTTTGGATCCTATTCAAGACCCTGTGATTTTTAACAAGATGTTAGTATGAAAACTCCGGCTGAACAAAATAAAAGTATTCTTTACTATAAATGTATCCTCTCCGACTTAATGATTATTATGACGCCTATTATAATATGAAATATGACAATTATTATAAATTAATATTTCATATTATAAATATTACTTCTTCTAAATTTAGGCAGCTTAGGAATAGAATAGGATTTATAGGGTTGAATATCCCAGAAATATCACATATTATGTGATTTTTAGGGATATTCTATTCCTAAGCTGCCAGGCCATATTGAAAGACAGTTATCCGAATCCAAACAACAAAAGAAGAAGTAATATTTGAATATTTACTTATAAATAACGGCATAATAAATTCAGAAAAATTTGTATCTATTAACAATATAGGTTTAAAATGTAATATAATACTGAACTACAATGTAAAAATAATATCTGGAGGTCTGTAGGCAACTATTTTACATATATTCATAAGTACATTGCATTAAAATACCAATTTTATTTAAACATTATGTTAAGTATATTTTTACTGTCAACGATGTTTTCTAAAACAACTGAACGCACCGTCTAAAGAAGCTGTGGAATGAAGTATCATCTACGTTATTTCTAGACCGATCTGGAATTATTGGTAATCCCTTTTTAGCCAACGGATCCCTGGCTATGCTACATTTACCAACTCTAGTATTATTGTAATACATATCTAAGTTTATATAAATCCACTTTATTCATAAATTTATATTTTTAATTTACTCTAAGGCAAAAAATGGAAAAAAGATAACACACTTTAATTTATTACGCTCTAGTGATCATCGAAAGGTCAAAATTCAACTGTAAGTAATTCAATAAATCCATGATAAAAAAATAACGCTTCGTAGAAGGTATGAAAAATCTAAGTTTTCAGAATTAAAGTGTATTTTGACAAAACAAAAAAGAAAACAGTTTTATAAGCGTAATAAGTGTTACTATTAATACCTACTACTGAACGGTATTGTATTTGCTTCTTTACACACTTAATATTTAAAGGCAATGAAAGATGCATAAATTGATGACATTTTTTTTATCTTAACAAAAATATTCCTTTTCAGTTAACCAACGAACTTTGAATCTCTTAACACTAACAGCCTTATAGTTGGCAAAACAAAATTGGATAAAACTTTTGTCGATAAAATTTCAGGTAGCATCAAATACAGATTAGTTGATTACGTAAGCCCCGTTGTTTATTGTTCATAAAGATTTATTTTACTATCAAACGCGCTTGTCAACCATAAAAAGCTGTAAGGTATTTTTACTTATTCTCTTTGCCTTTCATTGAATCAAATAGATTTGTCTTCGTAGTCTTTTTATTTCAGTTAATCTTCAATACCGGATAGCTACTCGGCTGATTGTTTTTAAAGAAATGTTATCATGCCTAAACAGCGGCGTATCAATCGCAAACATTGTGCAGACTATAACTTTAGTTTCACTTACGTAGTATGGGCAAACCTAATACCGTCAGCTGGGCGCTTTACGATTTAGATGAGAAAATAGAGAGTAGAAGGAAAACAAACCCGTCTGACCAGCGTGGTATAGTAGGCCAAAAACTCTTTTCTAAGGAGGCATAGGTCCAGCAATAGACCATTATAGGCTGTTGATGTGATGAGCAGGTCATGGTCGAATTCTTGTAATTCAGAGTCCAAGTCCTCCAGAATCGGATTCCCGGCAACAGCCAGTTCGAGTTTCTTTTAAAGTATAGTCATCATCTTCAACAGCCTATAACAGCCCACTGATGGACATAGGCCTCTCCTTAGAAAGGAGTTTTTGGCTACTACACCACGCTGACCAGACGGGTTAATATAGGGTTTGTTTAAAGTTTTCCTGTCAGCTCTTACGGTAAAGTATAGTAAATAGGCTTATCTAAAATAAGAATTCACCACATGCGTCATCACTGTTGCTGCCAGCCACCTGTGTCGCAACTAGAGGATTCGATCGATTTCGGGATCCCGGGATCCCGGTCATATTTTAGTCCCGAAATTTTCGGGATCAAATTTAATGAATCCTGGGATTTTCGGGATTGATACATTTTTTACATAAGTCAATAAAAATGTGCGTAAAATGAAACGCCCTTGCCTTGATTTGATGTTTTGACAGCCATCTTGTCTACACAGCTGATTTCATTTGTTTTTGCTAATGACCGGTTCTGGATTATGCGTAAAAGTGTGTAATTTATAAAGTTTCTGGGCAATTTAATTTAAAATATGATTAGGTATCTATAAACATTGGTCTCTTCAGCATATAGTTTTTTTTATAGTTTATCTAAATAAGTCTAAAAGAAGTTGATTTTTTGAAGATTATTGTTAGTTTCATAAATTATTTACCGAAACACAAAACAAACTAGGCGCTAGTTTGTTTATTTTATAAGAAGAAAGTATAATTTTGTTTAACCGCCTTTTTGGAGATTTAAAACTTAAATATTCTATGACCGCACAAAACTAAATGCTAAACAAAAAAAATATTTTGATATGATTTACTGTCTTTTTGTTACCACTTTCCATTGATAAAACAATCCCGGGAGTATCCCGGGATCCCAAGATTAAATGTAGATAATCCCGAAATCTCGGGATTATAAAAATCGACCGGGATCGAATCCTCTAGTCGCAACGTCCGTGCCCCGTCGGCCGCAGTGGAAGACGCCTGTCCGAGGAAGAGGATAAAGTACTCGCCTTTGGAGACGATTTATTATTTCGTGCCCATAGCAGTTGAGACCCTGGGCAGTTGGGGTACAGACGCTAAGGTGTTTGTACATGAGTTAGGGCGAAGGCTGAACGAAGTGACTGGTCCCGCTCAGGGTCGTTCCTGATGCAGAGCTTGCCGTGGCCATTCAGCGTAGGAACGCAGCTAGCGTTATGAGCACCTTTGCGCAGGGAGCGGGGGCAGGGGCGGTTATTTAATATATAGATATTTTAGTTTTATTTACTATAATAATAATAATAATATTCTACCACATTCACACAACGCCATCTAGCCCCAAACTAAGCAAAGCTTGTACTATGGGTACTAGACAACTGATATAAATACATATATACTTTTTTTGTAAATACATACTCATTATAAATAGTAACACCCAGACCAAATCAAACATTAAATGTTCATGCACACAAATGTTTGACTTGAGCGGGAATCGAACCCGCGACCTTTGGAATAGCAATTCGTTACACAAACCACTACGCCATATCTAATTAAATTAAATAATTTACAATATAATATTGACAAAATGACAATTTGAAAAAAAATGAATTTCTATAAAGTAATAATAAAAAACTATATGGAAAAGAAAAATTAAACAACAAACAGTTTGTTATGAATGTCTATCTACGTCTGGTCGAAAATAATACAACTTAATTTCATTTGTGTTATTTAATGGTTATAAAACAAAAGATCATTATAAAAATTCCATTGTAATTAAGTTAATTAAGAGAGTTTTATATTGATGCGGGTAATAAATTCACAAGTACCTCTGTCAAATGTCGAAGAGGTGATGACGAATGCAGAAGCCAAATTATATTCAACATTCATTTTCGTGCAGCAGAATCGCTCGCCGAACGTATCGGAAGTGGTAAAAACTGAATACAACCACAAGTGAAAAGAAGTAAAACACTGTAACAAAGAAATTAATGTTATAACAGCTGTTATCTTTAATAACTTAAAATTTCAAAATGTCAAATCCCGGCATTCCATATTTACAGACAGATAACGCAAACATCGTTTGACGGATTACCCAAATTATTTATTCATCAAGGTGTATTCGCGAAAGGTTCGCATATATCATCATGTTTATATGTAGTATGCACCTATAACAGAATTTATTCTAAATACTTTAATACATAGGTGGGCAATGCTTCTGTACAAATGTGCAGGATCGGCGGGAGTAATGGGACCTTCGTTGCTTTTCACCGAGTAAGTGAAGATATCGGAGCCCAATCCCTCCCTCAGTGGAGGGCGAGAGGGGGATTCAATCACTTGGTGACACATCTGCTCGTTTGCTCCACCCCACCCCCGTCCTATACCATACAAAAACTATATCTATAGATATATACTGCCGAGTTCTGCCAAGTACTGTATAAATGAGATTTGTCCGTATGGTGACGGATTAAGAATAGGGAATAAGGGAGTAAACTACGGACGACAACAGCACTGCAAAGAGAAGGAAAACTTGAAACAAACCCTATACCAACCCGTCTGGTCAGCGTGGTACCTGTACCTATAGAAGGCCAAAACTTCCGTTCCAAAGAGAGGCCTATGTCAAGCAGTGGATTGTTACAGGCTGTTGATGATAAAAGAGATTCTAGGTTCATACAATTTTTACACTTAAGATAGTGTTTCAATTTTATAATTAAAAATATAATTAAATAAATTAATTTAAGCTGTAAATCAAGAAACCGTTAAGCTTTAAATAAACTGCTGATAATCACACCTATGTGATATGACAATTTAATCGAGTTAATATGTAAAGTGCGCCACGCCGGCCGGAATGCATTATTGAAATTAACGTTATGGAATCCAAATGGGTACTCTCATGATTATGACTTGCTATTTCATTTTGTGAACAGCGACTGTAGCATAACAGACGGTGCGCATTAGACAAAATTCTCTAAAAATAAATCAGTTTTTGTTCCACTAATAGATAAAGTAAACCTAAAATCTTATAGTATCTTATAGTGTAGAGGCGCATTACATAGAAAGGTCAATTCTCGTAATTAAAATCCGTTCAAAATTCAGTTTCGATCTACTTTTGATCTCACAAATGACATAAAAGGTATGCTCAGTTTAAAAGTTTTAAATATCCAACGTTGATTTTGTAGTTTCATTATGGTATATGTAAGTATCATATTGTGACCAAAAGTTGGATCAGTATTCTGTTAATCATAGTAATACTACTTTACTACGAGAATACCTTTTATGGCATTTGTGAGATCGAGAGTAGTTTGGAACTGAATTTTGAACAAATTAGGCTCAACTTTCCTTTAATGTCTGTTGAGTTGGGGGTTGATATTTTTTTCACAGAAAGGTTACATTATTATAAGCACACACGCAAAGTTTCTACATGCGCAGACGCGTAGTTTTTGAGAAAAAGAAAATATTGAAATCAATTATTTTTGCAATATGTATGTCAATCCCTACCACAGATAATATAGAATTCTGCAGAGTTCTAAACCTCTCCCGGTATCGCTCCGCAATCTCCTTCGCAAGCATAACTTGCTCGCAGAAGGAGACGGCAGAGTTCCACGGACTCTCGCTCCGCACGATAGCCGCAATCAGAACTCCCACTCCGATGGCCGCCACGAGGTCTCGCCTCTGCTCCACCCACGCTGGGCATTCTGCCAGCGTATGGAGCGCCGTGTCCACGGTCCGACCATGGCAGTGGTGGCACTCAAGCGTTGGCTTCTTGCGGATCAGACACATGTGATCCCCGAAACATCCTTTCCCAGTGATCACCTGCGTCAGTCGGTATGAGAGGGTCCCGTGATGACTCTCGAGCCAATCCTCCATAACGGGTCTATAACGTTCCCGAGTAGTGTAGCCCTGCCTGCGAGTTTGTGCTATACAAATAAACAGCTTCAGCTTTTCACCGCCGTTATGAAAAGAAGGTCATGCCAATAGACTTTTGTGGTGAAAAATAGTACTGCCGTCTCAGATCAAATAAAAAAGTTAAGATGGTACTTTGTGAACAAAGAAGTGAGGCCAATTAAAAGTACGCCTTGGCATACATATTACACGAAGCGTACAACGAAACTACGCTTTGTCAGTCAAAACGCAAGAGGTCAATAATGTTAAAAGTGCCAAATTGTTTGTGAAAGCGTGTACAAATCACACTACAAGAGATAGATAGTAGGATAGAATCACATTTCACACATAAGTGGGCGTAGAAACCCATATTTGCAATAAAATAAAATTATGATGGCAGCACCGGCCCACGCACACATGGTTATAAAACCGGCGTCGAGTCATTCTTCACAATGGTCCATCTTAACTTTTTTATTTGATCTGAGACTTCCTTATGAGAAATAAAAGTTTTTGAAAACTTAAACCAGAATTAACTTACCAGACCCAAGGAATGTAAATAGTCCAGTAACGCAAGCCAAATTCGCACTTCTGTGATCTTCATCTTTAATTTTTGGTGCTGAAATTAGGTTAATTTTGTGTATTACTTTATCAATGGAATAACACCACTGTAAACAATAAATTCATTCTATATAAATTCATTCTATATAATATTCAACTATTCATCCCGTGGGTGTCGTAAGAGCCGACTAAGGGAAAAAAACTACGCAGAACAAGAGCACTGTAAAGAGAAGGAAAACTTGATACAAACCCTTTACCAACCCGTCTGGCCAGCGTGGTATAGTAGGCCAAAACCTACTTTCTGAGGAGAGGCTTATGTCCAGCAGTGGACTGTCAAAGGCTGTTGATGAAACAATAAATTCTAATATGGTAGTTTTAGAGTACCTGGATATACTTTAGATAACATGTATAATTGAAATAGACTACAAATATTATATATTTACTATACGTCGAGATGACCTGACGCTCTAATTTCATTCAGAAGTCATTAAGTTCCGAATATTTTGTTTATATTTCATACCAAATATTAAAGTACACATGCGGATTAGAAATATTAAATTCCTACACATTTTCTACATTTAAACCAACCATGTATAACAACTTTACGTCCGTTGCATGTAATGGTGATGGTAATAATTTAAACCTACTGCTTGTCTTTCTGCTAGTTTTGTTATCATTATTTTAACACACCAGTACCCGCTTGACATCGTGCTACTACTTAGTTACCCGAGAGGCACAACAAAACCATTAAAGAAGTAACTATTCATTTATGACATAAATAATGAACTTCAAATAAAACAGAAAAAGAAGCACTACAAACTTTGTCCAAAGTTACACGCAGAACAAACGAAAACGAACAGCAACTACTTATTGAATACATAAATTCACCAGCTACATTGCTCGCAGAAATATACCTACATGTTCCCGAATACATTTTTATCAAGCACCTTGTCTGTTTTGTATGACATCGTTTCATACATTTACATCTGAAGAACTCTCGTTTATACCATGCCAGCGAGCCCACTCGGTTACATATTGGAAACCAATAAGATATAAATGGCAAGGCTAAACATTCACAATTTATGTAAATTGACTAATTTAGTGCGTAGAATACACGATCTTTTTTTTCGATATGAGTTGTACAACTCATATCGTAAAATTATCAAATCCTCTCGTACTATATCTGCATGAACTAAGGTTGCGTAGTAAAAAATACCTTGCGCAGTAAGTCTGTTTTTGTAAAAGTTTTTAATCATGAACTAGTGTTCGCCCAGTTGAAAAATTCATACATAACCCATTAGCTATGGCTTTGTTTTGTCTTTAGAAGTCTCGATATAATCGCTATCGTTTTATTTTTTATAGATTAATCAGTAATATCAATCAATACATCCTAAAAAAAAGAATATAAATTAAGAACAGACAGTATACAAAAGATTTTTTTTTTTGTCACTGCTTTTATATAATTATCAGTCTAAAGTCTGTTTTTGGCATAAGCACTAAAATGCATGACTTTCACTCCACTTTATACATAATACGCCAAGCAATGTTGTATTTAAAATAAATGGTAGAAAGAAGTTACAAAATCAACTTGTCATTAAACTATGTTAGCGTATCGTGTGTGTGGGTGTGTACCTTTATAGAAAAAAACTTTTTCCAAAAGGCACAGGAAAATGTTTTAGTGAAACAAAATTGGTCCCGTTTAAGAAACAATGTTTATGAATAAAGTTGGAACAGATATCTTCGTGTTTTCGTGGAAAGGAATGTATTGTTTTCTTTGTTATTGTTTTACTTTAAAGGAGAGTTTATAGTCGATATTTAGGTTATTTGTTCTGATGATATAGTATAATAATAAGATATCTCATTTTATAAGTATAATAATATTATAAAGGGAACGACAGTTAATTTTTTTTGGCTGGTAATAAATACATGCAAAATCATTCTCATCAATCAATCATTCATCAATTCTTGATGATAGTTATAGGCACATGCACATCACGGTATGCGTGGTTGTCTAATTATGATTAATAATATGATTACAGAGAAAGTCAGTTTATTAGATTATGTGCATCAATTTATTAAAGGATATTCATGAAAAAACAACACTTGTCACAACACTTGACAAACAAAAGCCTATTTCTTTTCAATATCAGATTCTTCAAATTAGATATTGAAAAAGAAATAATCTTTTGTTCGGTAAGATGATAAAACGAAAAAAATGTAATGAACTCACTTTAAATGGAATTTGAATACAGAGTGTAGAATTAACGAGTTATGTTAAAAAAGCTTAACTTAATTTGAAATACTTCGAATTTCGAATCGAATTTCCACAACTCCAGATAAAACTATTTTTAATTTGTGCAATGAAGGCGTAATTTTGTTTCTTACGTAGAGTTTAAGATTCTTTAGTGAATTCACTTCTGTTTTGCAGTCTTCCTAATTTTTCCAAAGTTTGTTTATACCAAACTTAATTTTGTTTAATTTTATATAGCAAGACTTTTGTGTAGCTAACTTTATTACTATACACCAAGACTAAACTTCTGAAATTATTAGATGAGAAAATTAACAGCAGTAATTTTTTTTGTTGACGGGGTGGAAAATCCTTTAGGATCTTCTGCTCCTTGGGGACTCAGGAGCCAGGAGTTTGTGGGTGATTCCACTAAAAGTCACCCCGATGGCCGGCTACAGGTGCTCAACTCTGAGAGGACTCGGACCATGTTATTTCAGGTCTTCCTCGAATTGACACCATGCCTAATCAGGCCCAATCCCAGGGGAAAAACACTTCTCCCCTCAATCGTGACATGGCGGCGTTAATGCAATCAGGCCGCCATCCTATCCCCTACCGCAGCATTCAATCTGCGACCAGAGGAGAGCCGAAATTTCTGTTTTCCAAAATCTATCAAAAAGATTATCTATATTTTCAAAAATAATATCCACTTCAGAGGTCTAGCAACGCAGTGAGCGTAGTAAGTTGGAAAGTAAAGTAACTGAGAGAAATGACTTGAGGAGGTTTTGGCCTACTATATCACGCTGGCCAGATATGTATTATGCACATGTATAATAATCGAAATTTCAGTTTTCAATTACCTAAATCTGTTTTAAAAGTGTGTAACATCTGTAGCGAGATTCGCTATGTTAATAGCTTGATAGGTATTTGACTGGCTGGTTGGTATAGTGGTCAGTGATCTTGACTGCTAAGCCAGAGGTCGTGGATTCGATTTCCGTCCAGGTAAATTAATTGTGTAACCAGGACGATCATTTGTTCTGTGTTTGGGTGTAATTTATCTATCATGTAGTGTGTGAGGAGTTATGCTTACCGTCTTTAAATCGAATGCAAGCTCGACCAATCTTAGTAACAGCTAATGTTACGAGGCCCATCCAAACAATAGCAGCAACAAGCAGGTAGACCTTCGAATGAAAAGTTACAAAATTATGAAACTAATGGTCACAAAATAATGTATATGTATTTCGTTACTATGAAACTACCAAAATTTAATAAAAAATATATTGCAAACAAAACAAACAACAAACAAAGGTACATTCCTTATCTATAAACACAGTCGAAAATATATGTCGCTACCTGTTAGGAATTTCGTCCCGAATAAGCCTGCCGATGACATAATTCTACTGGACTAGTAAGTAGTACATAAAATTGAGATTCGTGAATTACTTAAATGACGATATGTATACTGATACAGATACTCATGTATACGTGTATACGTGTATGCGTGCTAGCTTACGTATGCATGTGCAAATGCGAACACCGAGAGTAAATTTAAAAAAAAGCTAACTATTTGTGCTATTGCTAAAATTTTATCACGTACGAGCATCATGGAATTTCAAAAAATCTTTAATAAAGTGTTCTTAGAAGACAATTTGTCGCAATCCCATACGTAAATAAATCGTCTTACATTTATTGTCGTCAGATGTAAACTCTACTCATTTAAAGTCATAGTAAATGTTTCACAAGATACAAATGTTATTAATTATTCGGTTTTACACTTGAGATTAAACTCACAAGCATGGCTCTGCAGTTTTCAGTCAAAGCAACTATGATCAGAAGCATGCCTGCTCCAGTGATGCCACTTAACACGATTCCTGTTGCTGCGCTAATAACTGAAAAATAAAATAAAAATATAACACAAAAACATACAGAGTAAATTTGTATTCTGTGGGATCGAATCATAGACCGGGGACTACTAAACCACTAAGAATTGCGGCATTAACTCATGTTAACATTAATTATGCAGGGATGGCGAAGTGGTTTAAATGGTCACCTCGTAGCTTACAACTACGCTGAGTATTGTGGGTTCGATCCCAACATGGGACGACACTTTGTGTGATTCACAAATTGTTGTTTTGAGTCTGGGTGTTCTTTGTGTCCGTTTCATGGTCCCCCGCGACACGGGAGATATTCCTAACGTGGGAGTTGTCTTTAAAAAGAAAAAAAGAAAAATTATGGTACTTCATCTTATATCAGTTTAATATCGGCCTAAACGATAATCATTTTTGGAGATTTTGCGTGTAGGATGAAGTCTGTCCTGAAATCATCAGTGACCACAGGAGTCAGCCGTTCACCTTGTCCTGCAAATTAGGTGCACACTATCGTCGAGTTACAGAAAACAGCTCTGGAATAAGACCACTTTGAATGATGGTTTGGTGTGATACAGCATGCTGTATCATACCAGCCATCCTTCAAAGGTTTTAGATTATTTCCATATGTCATAAATAACAAGTAAACTAGAGCGTATTATTGGCTGGTTCATCATTACCATCAACAGCCTTTAATAGTCTAGGCCTCTCCTTCGAAAGGATGTTTTGGCCTACTATACCGCGCTCTATAGGCTATATGTGTATTGGTTTTTTTAAGTATTCCTTTTCCTTGCAGTGCTATTGTCCTGTAGAGTTTGATCTCTTAGTCGGCTCTTACGACACCATGGGATAAATAAGGCTGGTGACGCTCCGTATTCTTAATCCACTCCATCCTAATCCACAACTGGTTAATATCTCTGTTCTAGTCTGTCCAATCTTAAGACGGACTTACGGGTAAAATCCTGGCCTTTCGAGCTACTTCAGTGTCAGTCCAATTTCTCCATCCAAGACTAACAGTCCCAGTCCCCCTCCCCCTAGAGCTATTTGTTTACATTAACCTAATTCACCTTGATTCTTAAACGATTACATCGGCGTCATGCACATTTCCGGCTACAAAAAGCCAGCTAAGCTTAACCCCAAAATAACAGGAGAGAAAAATGAGGATGATGATGCTAATGATGACAGAGCGTAAAGTATTTTATAACAAACTATAATGGGACTACTCAGAAAATCAGACTAAAACTCAGTTAGGTATAGCTCTTCAAACTCATCGGTACTTTGATGTGGTTTAGAGTGTTTAGGAAATTTAATCACGTATGAGTAGTCGACAGTATTAAAATGCTCCGATTGCAGCAAAAATCCATTAAGTACTTTCTTTAAAAACGGCAAAGACTTGTTTAGAAAAAAATCTTACACTGTGTCGTGGGTGTTTTATGCATTTCATCATACGCGCGTCCGTGTGTTAGAATTAATGTTAGAAGAATTGATCCAATCAGTACTTGGCAGAACGCTATCAACAGTACCCCTGGAAATAGGTTGCAAATACCACAGCAGCTCTCGAAGTGACATCCTGGCTTGTGGACCACGAAGTGTAGAGGGACCTGTATCATATTTAACGCATAGTCTAAAATTTATACAAATAGAAGTTTTAATAAATACTACATACACAGATATAGATATTACAGTTCTCTTAGTTGAGTCATCTAAATAAGCATTTACAGTTTTGTTTTTATACCTATATTACGAGCTTGAGCTTTTAGTTTAAACATAAGTTAGCACTTATGTAAGCTAATAATTTCAGAACCATACGAGTATGAATTCTAAATCAATTATTATTTTTGAAGTTCAAAAGTCACAGTATGTTTTTCTGGAATCTATAAATATGCCCAATAGTCGTCAATAGCAATCAACAGACAAATCTCAATGAGGGTTACTTTTTTGGTGAGCAGCATACTGAAAGGAGACGAAACTACGGCTATCGACCCTGATCGCGTTTTCAACCTGCAGTGGGATAGAATATGAATTTGAATTATTATCGTTCTACTTTAAACTCCAATAATCTAGTCGAAGACTAGATTAATTAAAATAAAATATTATATTGTGTAGAAACAAATATTATAAGAGAATCGACGAAATATGCGCGGAGCTTATGGAACAATACCTGGGTATTTATAATCATTTTGCTTATTTTATTTTACTTTTAATAATACATGGGCATGAACGTTAAAATAATGTAATGTGTAAATATGTGTAAAAAGTGTAAATTGTTTGTTGAGGTAAGTAACGGTTATTATATCAATATTGTGGATCTACCTGAAGTCTAGTACTACTCCCAGTTCTGGCACTTCTGCTACTTCTCGCTCTTTCACTGGATTTAACGTAATCTTCTGTAGTACTTTTCACCATGATTCAGAATGAATATAAATATATCAAACTTGACAACATCATCGATTCTTTTCACAATTCTTGTCAAATATAGTTTTAAAAAGTTATTAATTATTTTTGATAATTATATATTATACCTCTTTTCTGTATGGAGCTCCGGTAGTGTTGAAATAAAGGGACTTATCTTCTCTTCTAAAGAAATCTCCGTCAAAAGGTTACTCCAACCAGCGTCTACATTTTTTGACGAGTGGTTTTAGGATTCCAGAAACGGTAATATCCTGTGTTCTCATGTGTAATATCGTTTCTTTTAAGTTCCGTTCACGTTAAGATTAGACGATTTTCAAAATTTGACCTATCCTAGTTTCAGACCACAAACCAAACGACCTAGCTTTTGTAATGTACAGCCTATAAAATCTGTCGAAACGACTGTAAAGTAAACGACTAGATTAGACTGTAAAACTAATCTGTCCATCTTTCGTAAAAAGCTATGATGGACACAAAAATACACAGATATACAGGTAACCTTTTTTGCATCCGGCGTTAATACGGGGTTTAACTTTGATGTACAACAGTAAGTCATGGGACACGCTTTTCAATTTAGTAGTAACTGGATAAATCATGATACTCGTAAAAACTGATAGTTTTAGCAGTTATTTTTTCGTAGCGTTTTTATTTCTATGTTAAGCTGGAATAAATGTAGATAAATTTGTTAGCATTAATTTTGATCTGTATTGTTTATATTGTAGGTAAAATTATGAGGCGGTCTTCGTAGGTAATTTTATCGACCGATGAACTATAAGTGTGTTTATGTTTAAAGCTGTTTACTAATTTCGTACGGCTTATGTACCTTAGTTGTTTGTGTAGTCCTCGAGTCGACAATTCTCGTTTGCAGGTGGATTTATAGTTACTTAATTAAATTTGTATAAATTTACATAGTTAAGTTTGGAACACTTTGGTAAATTTTGTGCTATCTGTTCGTTCCACTTTATGCCCACCGTGTGTTTTGAACTTTTGAGAAGTTTATTTGCTAGGCAATCTAATGTTGCTAATGGAAACCTAAAAGCTTGTGGTATGAGTGGATTCTTGTTATTTTCGAAAAAGGCGTTTGCCTACAAAAAATACTTTACCGTTCTAGTACAAATATAGAAATACATAAATAAAGACTAAAATTGCAGCATTAACTGGAAAACCATTGTGCCCGTAACAGTACAAAATACTGTCACTGTTCCAATAAACAATGTACAAAATTAGGGTGCCCTGAAATAGAAATTCAATAAGGTACAATGTGCTTGTCTATGTGAATAGAGGAACAAACATTTGTAATCTGCGTCAGCAGCAGAACCTTTGTTCACCTGTGTAGTACCACAATGATTATGTTTTTATGTAGGCTGTCTCTATCAACTACATTTATATAACATGTGAAAGCAAAAATTAAGATTAGGATCGATGGTGTAAGTATTTGTATGATGTGTAATGTAAAATTGATTTAAATTAAAATTAACTTCAATCTTTGATTAATTTTCAAACTAGCATTCTAAAGAGTATATCTAAAACCTACGTTTATTTCCTATGCACCTGGCTTGCTCCTTACTTAACAGTATTGGCAGATAATGGAACCTGGCATTCAATTCGCCCCGTTGAGGGTGCAAAAAGTGTAAAATAAAGTCTGTTAATAACTAAATCTTATATTCCTGCAAAAAAATACATATGCACATTACAGCCACTGTATTCCATCAGTAATTCTATTTTGTCGAGCATAGTTCACAGAAATTCATATTAATAAAAATAAATGTTTAATCATCACTTATTAAACCAAAAAATTAATAAATAAAAAAAACACCCGAATTGATAACCTCCTCTTTTGTGTTTTTGAAGTCGGTTAAAAAAATATAAGACGTAACCATAAAGGTGGGTGGTATCCGACGGGACTTCCGCACTGAGAAAAAGGTGCTACTGTCTATAATTTATTGACATCTAATGTGACTGTTACAACTTTATATTTCAACCATCTGTAGTGTATTCTTTTGGTATAAATTACCGTACAATCAACATATTTAAAATTAAAAAAAAAAAACATAAAATGAAGTATATAGTTAAAAAAAGTTATTTTTATTTACCATTTTTTTTATTATCTGTCAAATCATATGAACATGCAAAAAAGTTATGAACATAGATGGCGCTCCTGGGGGCGGCCTTCGTTCTTATTCAGCAGTGGACGGCGATAGGCTAATGATGATGATGAACATGTATTATTATTTAAAATTGCAATGTATTTGAAATCTTTTGAATTCTTTTTCCGTATTCGTATGTTTCGAGAATAGTTTATTTTTTATTGATTTGTCCCACGAAACAATTGAGTGTGGCACCCCTAGGTATTATTTCAATTTCCAAGCAGTGCAATGTAACGTGATTGAGAAAGCGATTAATGAGTGTCGTTGGTGTCGTTTTGAGTGTCATTGAATCTATTCTAAAATTATTTTGAATAGAGGGTATTAGGTTGTTTAATCTTTAGAACATGGTAGCTTCATAATTAAATGAATGTGAGATTTGTGAAGGCAATTAATTAATTAATTAATTAATTATTAAAATTTCCAACCCGTCTGGCCAGCGTGGTATATATAGTAGGCCAAAACCTCCTTTCTCAGGAGAGGCTTATGTCCAGCAGTGGACTATTAAAGGCTGTTGATGATGATGATGATTAAAATGCCTGTATGCAGAGACGCAGCGTCCGATAAGTTATAACTTACTTATCTAATATTTTTTTAAACGTTATCGTTTTGTATTAGATCAAATCAATATCATCACAAAGGTCATACAGAAGAAGCTGAAATAATTACTTTAGTATTTTATATTAAAATAACAATTTTTCAACTGAGTTAATTAAGTACCTTTGTTAAGGGTCCAGGGGACGTAAATAAAATGGCAGTGGACTGTATAACTGGTATTTTAATCGCCAGGTCTTTACACGATATGTAGTGTGAGGTTGAAGTCGGACCGTCCACGGAGGTGTCCCAAGGCGAGCAACGGCTGTTTTATATCCTCTGCTCCTCCCGGCTCGGTCCCCCACTCGTCGCACACGTCCGGGTAGTCCCCCCGCACGCCGCGCTGTTGCCCATTGTAGTGCGTTTAGTCATCGCAGTCGCAACAACCTTTCATATTTATTTTAGCGACAAAAGACAAACACTTTATGAAACCATTCTTTTACTGTCTGTCATTCGTAATTAGTACAAGAGGGAACCGATGTCTTATTTAATTCTGCATCTCCTTTTAGACTATACATAGGTAGTTATGTTAGTTATGTGAGTGGTGTTTCTCACTCTCAGATTATTCCAAGGCCGTTATTACATATATATTTATATCATCTTTCAAAATTCCAAATTAAACATAAAATAACTAACTGGGTACTCTATGAAATCTAGATTGACTGATAGAATACTTATATACTTTTTTTTGTAAATACATACATATTATATATAGAAACCACTCAAACTCCGAAACAAATATTTTGCAGATCATACAATCATTTGGTCCGACCCGGGAATCGTACCCGGAACCGCCGCACAGCAGTCGCATACGATGCCACTGGACCATCGAGGCAGTCAGATCTGCTTAACACCGGTTCTTCTGTGAGGCCGTATTGTCACTCCGGTCAAGCCCGTTCATGTCGTAGCATGGCTCTTCTACGGTATTATTAGTACGTATTTTTATGTACACCAATAGCATTTCAAAGTTTAAGAGTACAACAATAATCGTGGATAATTCATACAATGGCAGCCTTATCGCACAGTGGACATCACTAACAGACAACCATGGGACATAGAGAACGACCAGTTAATAAATTAAAATGGAATATGTTATATAATATGTGTTAGAACATAACAAAATAAAACAATAACTATTTCAATACATGATATACGTATTTAGGAATATTTACATTGTTTAAAAGCAAAAATACCATACCTAGAATGCTGTATGATTATTAACTTATCTAAAAGTCTACATACCACACTACCGGTTCATATTAGTACTCACCATATACGGGTAAATAGTTAATAAAATGATTTTTTTTATTAAACAGATAATTAATAGAAAAAGAGAGAATTTTGAATAAGATATTACATTTTTATATTAACATGGTTCACGTAATCATGTCATAATTGGATAACTTTTTGTTTGTATATAGAAGAGCGAAGAACGCTATTCTTTCTTCTTCTATATATCTTTACGTGGTATTGGTATTTTTGCTTGGTATCTTTTAAACTAAGCAACGGATTTTAATGCGTTTTCACCAAAAGAGAGAGAGAGAGAGAGTGATTCAAGAAGAAGATTTATATGTATAATACATGCCTATTACAGTAAAGAAATCCGAGAATTTCTAAGATTTGTCTTAAAAACGTTGTTTTGTGCGCTTACATTGCAAACGCTGACTAAACCTTACGATATGGATCAAAATAATGTTCTATGGAATTGTATATTCTAAAAAGATCTACAAAAAAGTCCCCGATATTATGTGTCTATCTCTTAAGGACAACCATCTTTAACCATTTTTATCTTTTTACATATTACAAAATACAATGGGTAATTTATGAAGCTATTTTAAACAATACAGTACTCGTATTATTCCTTTTGCAAATAAATAAGTACGTTACGGGCGTTGTGCATTTAATGTAGATCAAAATTGCCAAAACCGCTCGATAACTTCTAACTTCTTTTCTCGTTAACTTCTATTTTTAAGCGATTGTACGAAGGAGGAATAGGAACTTTAATATAAATATATATAAATATAATATATATATATATATATATATATATATATATATATATATATATATATTGAGAAGTTATAGTTGTCTTTTTTTATTTTTGTATTAAGTTTATGTACCAATACCATTTGTTTTTTTTTGTTCTATTGAATCTAAACTGACGTTACTTACTGACTGACATTGACGTCCTGACGTATGCGAATGCGCATTAGGCCCTAAGAAAAGTACTCGATACTTTGAAGTATCGATACTTTTGTTTCAATACTTTTATGAGTACGATACTTTTTTTTCGATACTATTCATGAGTTCAGTATCGATACTTTCTATTTGATGCCGTGTTCCTACCCGTGGGAAGCAGGGGCGGATCACTAGTATATTATAAACTTAATAATTATACATAAAGGATACTCAAAGAGCGTATATTGAGTCGCAGGTTGGACACCTGTAGTCACTTACCATCAGGTGACGCGTCTGCTTGTTTGCTCCTTATATTTTAAATTAGTGTCTATTACAATATATTTCGGCAAAAGCCTAAAATAAGTTCATCATCATCAGCCTATCACAGTCTACTACTGGACATAGGCTTCTCCCATTGCACCCACCTCGATCGATTTTCGGCTTCTCGCATTCAACTCCTGCCAGCCATCTCGCGCAACTCGTCACTCCACTCCATGCAGAAGCAAAAATAAAGCCAAAATAAGTTACAAGTCCTAATTTTGTAGGTATAAAACAAAAAAAAACTACGCAATTACATAACTTAGTATTCAGTGACATTGTGTTTACTTGTGTATGGTATAAACCGGATTGCAGTTTCGGGCGTCTGTTGATCATTAATATTTAAATATTTTTATACACAATTAAAACTTTCAAAGTTATTTCAATAACAGTAATCAAATATATGCGTTGTATGATGATCTTTTAAGAAAAAAAGCCGCATACCTTATCTTTGTTAACAATTAATTAAGTAGTTCGTAATAATATATATACACACTTTCTTACAGGGCAATCTTTTTGATATCATCACTGATGAGCCACTGCTATTTAATTGCCAATGTGAAGACACGGAGTTAGTAGATTACCGATATTTTGACCGATGTCAATGGCATTTCGATAGCACCTCAAATGGCGTGACAATGGAATGACAGTGGCTTGTCGTTAACATAAAATAGTAGAATTGAGGCCAAGTTTCCCATACACTCATTCTCCAGGCACACATAGCTATAAAATTATATCTCTAGTAAGATAATGAAGGGTTTTTTTTATTTAGTCAAAATCGGGTTCATATCATTGTTTATCAAATATTATATTTAAAGCAATTGCATGACATTGAAGGCTATGAGATACACAGATTTACTTACAATAATAAAAGAATAATCACATAATTTTGTAAGTATTAATAACAAGTCTGATGATCAAGTAACTGGTTTCGCTAAAGCTGTAAAACATAATAATATATCACAACATATGTTTATCTCTTTTACTCGTAAGGATTTTTTCCTGTCAACCCGCTCTCACCTTAACATAAGGGTTTTTCCTTTGCCATTTGAGTAAAACGAGGCGCGTGCGACGTTCGTCTTTTAAAAATTATAAATTTCTGACGTCAGTGCCAATTGTTGGTAGAAGAAATAAACAGAATGGTAAGGGTATTGTATAATAGTAATAATATATATGTTTATCCGTATTTTAAGTAAACAAAATGATGTCAATAGAGATGGTATGGAAACGATTTATTTGTTTGAAAATATGTGGTTCAATACGGCAGTGGTGAGAATAAAGACGGGCATGGTTAGTACCTTCAACTTCAACCCTCATGGTTAGTTGTCCTGCAAGACACGGATACGTCTTAAACTTATTTAATTTAATTTTTGTTTCTTTAAAATTAATATGACAACAGCTCAGTAATTTTTATTGATGGTGCCTCAGGTAGTTTTAAAGGAAACCTGTGTTACATGTCACTTTTGAATTTCTAAAACTCTTTTAAGTAAAATTGTTTGTGAATAACAAAACTTTATTTTAGTTCCAGATTCGAGTTGTGTGCTCATTAATAGCGGTGGTTTTAACAACCTTTAGCCAGGCTTCAGGTTATGACATGTTGATCTCGCCGTGTCCGAAAGTGTTTAAATACGAGGTCCAAGTAGTAAATCATCAACCGTTAGCAAAAAGGTGGTACGGTGTTGTCAACCTAGCTACGAACGTGACTTACCATGCTCTATGGTTGAATATTATCTTGGACAGAAAAGCTGATATACTTGGGGTAAGTAGAAATCTGTATTTTATATCTCTGTTATTTGACTGACCAGTTGGTATAGGGGCTAGTGATCCTGACTACTAAGTCAGAGGTCATGGGTTCGATTCCCACCCAGGACAAATGATTGTGTGATGAATATTTGTTCTATGTTTGCGTGTAATTTATGTAAAATGTGTATGTATTTAGATATATTACGGGTTAAAGTATGAAATTGCCGATTTGTACTGAAAAATTGAAACTCTTTTTTTTTTCTAAGATGATAATATTTATTTCATCAAAATATTTACCCTCATTATCTATACATTGCTGCCATCTGTACGGAAGTTCATTTATGCATTTACGATAGAACTCTTGGGATCTAGATTTGAAACTGTGTGAAAGCATTTTGTACTGCTTCCTGGGAAGAAGTTTTTTTATCACTAGAAAATTGTCCAAATCACGAATACAATGGCAGTCCGTTGGAGCAAGGTCTGGCGAGTACGGAGGAGGACGGATGGTTTCTAACGGCAGATCCTGTAGAGTTACATACAACGGTTCCTCGTGCAGCGTTATCATGGAGCAATAAAGGTGAAGATCGATTCACGAGTTGGGGCTGTTCAAAATTCGGTACAGTAAACATCTGCTGTTATTGCCTGACCAGACCTGAGAAAACTATATTGAATATCAAAATGAAGAGACGACCAAACAGCTACCATTACCTTTTTATTAAACTAGCTTTAGGAAACTGTTGCGGCGTTTCACCTGGGGTCAGCCATTGCAGTTTTCGCTTACAGTTGTCGTAAACAATCCACTTTTCGTCACATGTCACAATTCGATCCAATATGCCTTTATTTCTGTATCGATTCAACAAGGCAACAAGTTTCAACACGCATTTCTTTCTGCAGATCATTCAAATCATGAGGCACCCAATTTTCATATTTTGTTATCTTATTGATTTGATGCAAATGAGTCAATATTGTATATAGGGTAACGTTAAACCACGCCGCTAATTCCTGGGTAGTTTGACCTGGGATCGGCTTCCACCATCTCCTTCAATTCAGCGTTATTCACCTGTGTGGGCGGTCTTCCACGTGGTTTGAATTACGCAATCGTTTAAACCAAAAACGCCCGGTGCGTTCATTAGCAGTTCCTCTCCAAACGCAGCGTTGAAATTGCGAGCCGTTTCTGCCGCGTTAGTTCCAGGTCGAAACTCGTATTCAGAAATAACTCTCCATCTTTCACGTCTGAGATGAATAAAAAAAAACAATTGAAAGTAGAAAATCGAATGTTATGCATTTTTTAAAACAAGAACCTCATAGTATAGGTATCATGTGAAAAAAAAAACATGTAAATCTTACAGTACACAGGTTTTATGTCAATACAAAGTATCTATTACTATGCAACGCCAATTTCATACTTTAACCCCTATTATTTACGTATCTTTAGCACTTTCAGCACTTTAGCGGTCTGGTCACCATAGTACAGCTCTGCTTAGTTTGAGATCAGACTGCCCTGTGTGAGATGTGTGAAGTGATTATTAATAAAATTACCACAATAGACTTCAGTTTAGGTTGTTAAATATTACACTGCAGATAAATTAGCATTAATTATCTTGTATTAAAATAATTGAAGAAGAAATTGCAATGAAATGCAGGTTGCGTTTAATCATTTTCACTTAATAATTAAAGTTGCATTTTTTAATATAATCTGTAAAAGTTATGATTGGCCTTTTGGATTATAACAAAACTCATCTACATAATTGTATAATTATCATCTGAAAATACTAGATTTTTATCCCATTGACAAATAAGAGTTACAGTTAAATTAAAAAAGAGCTTGAATAAACTATTTATATAAATTATGTAAATGAATAATGATTCCTATAATTTTAAGCTTGTAATAATTTGAGAGTATGATAAAAATCAAACGTTAAATGTTAATGAATTGACTTAGTTGTCTCGTGACGTCATTGCTTTTTATGTCATATACACCAATTTCTACAGAAAAAATATAAACTAAGTTTGTAAAATTAGAACTGACAGTGTTACAATATGTTGTGTTTAACGGATACTTTCTTATGAAGATTATTATTAATACTAGATAAATTTAAATATAAAACTTCCGAACTGACTACTAAACATAATTTATTTTATTTTCTCCTAATTTATTTTTAGAGCTGGATTGGTGAAGTGACTTCAAAAGACAACATAGATTTTATGATTGAAAACTTAAACATAACAATTCAGCCAGAACAAAAAAGAACGGCTTGTTTCTTTGTACAATACAGTAGCGACTTTCAACCAAAAGTGACGGCTATTTTCATCAATGGCAGAGAAGTATGTCATGCTTACAATTATACTGATGCTAAAGCGGACAAACCAATTTCAAGATTGAACAATAATGGTGGCAATAATAAAAGTCGTATTAAATCGGCTGAAAGAACAGTAGCAGTGCCTATTATAGAAAATATTTCCAACAAAGCACATCACAGTAAGAAAATCATTAGAACAACAACTTCTAAACCAAATTATCATATACAAACAACGACAAAAAGAACACAAACAACAACTAGAAAGACAAAACACATAAACCCAGTACATGTAACACCTAAAAGTAAAACAAAGTTGTTCTTTTTAAAGAAACCGAAAAATAATCAACAATCATTTGTTGTAATAATTGGTAATTCCACTTGTTTCTCCTGTAAATCTAATGTAAGGGACGAAAGCACAAAAATAAATAATACAGTAAAGGGACCGACTGTTACTATACAGCAAGAACATAATAAGGATAAGAACTTGCAACTTAATATTCAAACATTTAACAACTTGCATACAGTGAAAAATGCAAATTTAACGACTGACATTTTGACTTCACGGAAGATTAAAGGTGTCTACAGGTCAAAAACAGATAATAATAAAAAATCTGACAGTTTAAAAACATCAACAAATGCATATCTAACGACTGATGCTTCGACTACAAGGAAGATAATAGATGACAGCTCAAAGATAGTAAATAATGAAAGATTTGAAAGTTTGCAAACAGCGCAAACTACAATTATAACGACTTATATTTCAACTACAACGCAGATCAAAGGTGACAACAGGCCAACGACTGGTAATCAAAGAATTGTAAATTTGCATACTACGGACAAAGCAAATTTAACGACTGAAATTTCAACTACAACGAAGATAAATGGCGACGACAAGCTAAAGATAAATAATAATGGAAGATTTAACGATTTGCATACTACGGGCAACGCAAATTTAACAACTGAAATTTCAACTACAATGAAGATAAATGGCGACGACAAGCTAAAGATAAATAATAATGGAAGATTTAACGATTTGCATACTACGGGCAACGCAAATTTAACAACTGAAATTTCAACTACAATGAAGATAAATGGCGACGACAGGCTAAAGATAGATAATAATCAAAGATTTGGCAATTTGCATATAACGGGCAATGAAAATTTAACGACGCAAATTTTGACTACAATGAAGATAAAAGATGACAACAGGCCAAAGACAAATAATAATCAAAGATTTGACAATTTGGGAACAACGAGAAATGTAAATTTAACAGCTCAAATTTCAACTAAAACGAAGATAAAAGGTGACGACAGGCCAAAGATAGATAATAATGAAAGATTTGATAATTTGCAAACAGGGCAAAATGTGTATACAACTGAAATTTCGACCACAAGGAAGATAAAAGATAGTCACATATTAAAGATACCTAATAATCGTAAACATAATAGCTTACAGACAACACCAACCCTATTTACAACGGTTAGTATTTCGACTACAAGGAAAATGAAGAGTGATGACAGGTCAAATTTAGGGAATAATCATAGATTTGACAGTTTGCAAAAAGGACCAAATGTGTTTATAACGACTAATATTTCGACTACAAGGCAAATAAAAGGTGATGACAGAAGGAACAGAAGGACAAATAATGACAGTGGATTTGACAACTTGCAAGCAGCAACAAACCGATATATAATGACTGATACTTCAAGTTCAAAGAAAACAAAAGTTGGAGGTGGGTCAGACGATTTTGAAGTAGAAAATAATGAAGATGGATTAGATACATTAGGTGTAATAGGACTTCCAGAAACTTCAGTAAGACCTGAAATAGATACAATATCTGACACAATTTCATCGTCTGATCGACAACCTGATATTAGAGACATTTTCAGAGAACCTACATTGTAAGTGTTTATTTTTTTGTGTTCATAAGCTTGACATTTTAAGTTAAAAAATGTAAAATGATGGAGTATACACATAATTGTTGTTTAATGTATTAAAATTAGTCTAACTCAAAAATATGATGTGCCTCAGGAAAAAATCTAATTAAGAAAGTAATAATTTAATAAATATTGCATGGTACCTCAATCACTAGTGGTAGCATAATTAACTACTATGTTTTGTACAGTATTTTATAAATGATTTGTGTTTTATAACTAAAAGCCTACCATCTCAATCTTTTCTGATGCACATTTTCTTCCATTGTTACACAATGACTCCCACAGATGGCAGGAAATCTTTGAGAAACGGCTTTATAATGCTATTCTTAATTAGCAGTTTTGACATCGATATTGTTTATAATAGATAAGTTTTTTAATGTTTTGATAATTTAATACAAAATATGTAGTTCTACTTTCATGACCTTTTATTATTTAAATTGTGATTGTGAAATTTCGATTTGTTGCGTTAATGTCTAAGAATCGATCTTTCGATTGAAATCTACCGACATAATTTTATGTTAGACCTAATGTCTGACATGAAATGATGTAGGTAGATTTCATAATAATGATGAATCTAAGCAATAAAATAGTTTTATGGTTATTTTATTTATATTATGGTGATCAAACTTAATTTCTACATTACAGAGACGAAGAAGAAGAAATACATAAAAATGGGGATCGGGCTGTCATTCCTTCGAACTTTGACCCAGAGGTAGGTAATTTTTTTTTAAACTAACATTAGTAAATTCTGTTTTATTTATTTTTCACGTGACTAAACAACACTTTAAGTTAAGTTTTTATTGAAAAACGATTGTTATAAAATTTAAATAGCTTTTTCTTGAATATCTTTATATCAGGATCCTTTTGAGGAAATTTGGAATAGTTACAATTAATACCATCCAAAGTACCCAATCAACGAGATATGAGATCCAAATTTAACACATCTCCACGCAGTTAGTTGGTACAGTCAGCATCAGATAAAAAGGAGCAGCTATGATGTCCAAATAACAAGGAATTATTATAAGTATATCCGAAGTGTCCAAAAGGATTTGTCTTCAAATAAATTGGAACACCTACTTCTTGAAATACTTGAAAAACGTCTATAATATAAAATCGATCAGAACGTAAGTTCTGACGAAGCTCACAAAACGAAAGGAAAGGGAAATTTATCTCAATGTATTATGATTAAATATAGTTAAAGCAACTTGTAGACAATGTCTTGTTGGAATTCTATATTTTTTGATAGAGCAATTGTGAAAAGTTGCTCTAGTTGTATGCAAGATGTATAAACTGTATAATCTACTGCACTATATCTATTGCACTAATATGATTGTATTACTTCAAGACGTGCATTAAATGGAATTAAAAACAACAAACGTTTTAATTAATAATTAAAGTACAAAAAAAGAATCAACCTTCCTTTACCTTCTCACAACCACAATCTTTTAGAAATTGTATAAATGAAATCAAAACCTCCTGGTCTATTCCTTCCCCTATAATGACTTCGGAGAGCCCTTCCTGCATTAAACGCACATCTTGCATAGAAGCAAAATGCGTTAAATCTTACTAACTCTTGACTCTACTTTTCCAGAACTATACAACATGACTTCGTAAATTTTATCTGTAATTTTTAACGTGGGTATTACACGCCTCTAGTTGAGCTGCTTATTTTTTTTAAAGGGTCATACATAGTAACTACGCAAACGTTCACAATTCCTGTTTAGATTCAAATATCTAGTACAACTCTGTAATTATTTGAAAAAATCATCAAGGATAAAATAATAGTTCCGTGGCCTATGTCCAGCAGTGGACTGTTAAAGGCTGTTGATGATGAAGAAGAGAACATAGTTTTACTATTCAACAGTTCTCATATAATTGTCAATTATAGCTTCTTATTTATACCTCTAGTTCTAACTACATATTTCTACTATTAAGATTGACTAATGCAAGAAAAGTGTATGGAAGAAAAAGAATGAGGACAACTTTTAGTTTGATTGATTATTATGAATGAAATGCAAAGAACCTGCATACGGCATTTAAGCATAGGAAGTTAATTTGAGGAAGGCCTTGAAAGTTCTGATTACAAAACCTTTTATAAGAATAAAGTTCATCTTAGCCGAAAGACGTCTACTGCAGGACATAGGCTTCCTTAAGGTTCTCCACAACACTCGGTCCTCTGCCGTCCGCATGCAGCTGCTACCCGCGACCTTCATCAGGTCATCGGTCCACCTACCAACGCTGAGTTTTTCGGTATGCGATTGGCACTCGAGAACTTTATGGCCGCATTGGCCATCGTTTCTGCTCAATCTACCCCGCCACTTAAGTTTTGCAATACTCCGGGTAATGTCGGTGACCTTGACTGGGCTGTGGGTCTCCTCATTCCTGTGCAATGAAGCATTGCACTTCATTGCTCTTTGGGAGACTTTAAGCCTTCTTATGAGGTCAATTTTGAGCGACCTTGTCTCCGTGCTTTGAGCCAGCACTGACAACTCACCATGACACTAGTCAAAGACTTTGTCTTGAGATACTGCGGTATTTGGGATGAGAAAATGTTACATAATTTCTCGAACGCTGCCCAGTCACGTTTCGACGATTGACCTCTTTTTCAAAGTTGGATCTATCTAACTCGAATCGTCGATAGCCTAAAGATCTCCAATCGGCTCGATCTTGGAGTTACGTAGAAATGTACCTACACTCTGCATTCTCTATTGTATTTTGTCATCGGACTAATGCCAGTGTCAAATTTCCTCCTTCATTTCGCAAAATTTTCATCCCCATTACTTGGAAAATTGGCACTTAAATATATTGGCATTAGTGGTATTAAATTGGAGTAGGTCTTTTCTTTGACACTTTGAGATCTCAAGCTTGGTTTTGATAATCAACGTGCTTCTAACTAGTCGGTGATTGCTTCCGGTTTTATTTATATTGATCACAGAGACATTGTTGAATACTTGCTTCTTCATCGACATGATGAAGTCGATCTCATTTGTAGTCCAGTAAGGGCCCCGGTGGTTCCCTCTACCTACTCTAATTTGCCCAAATCACAGCTTTTCGTTGAAATCCCCCAAAACACAACACACAACGGTGTTGTGAAGATTAGACATATGTATGGCTCTATTCCTCATGTATAGTTTTGACCTCATAATCAGGGTGTATCGTGATCGGAGCGTATACGTGTATAACCTTCAGTAAATACATTTTGGTAACTCTGAGTATAAGGTACGTAATTCTCGACGATGCACTCTCGATCTTGACTACGTTGTTTACTTGTGTACCAAGAACCCGACACCACCTTGGGACAAATGATCCCAATCCCTCCCGGAAATAAAACAAGTTACTAGATTAGAGTATTTAAAAGTCCTGGCCCTCTTTATGGACTTCAGACAACTCCAAAATATCCCAACGCAACCTGCTCGATTTTTTTACCAGTTTGAGTATTTTCTCGTCGCCAGAAGGCCGCCAGGGACTAGGGACTATTTCTCAGTAGCAATTGCCATATTTTTTTTTGGTTTTGCCATAATTGCCCCGCTTAGCATGTTCAGTAGAATAACTGCTGCCCATCCTCTGGTATACACTCCCTTAGTCGCCTTTTACGACACCCACGGGACGGGCGGCGTTCAAGAAGCTACGTGAAACCAAACAGGAAGGTATGGGGTGGAGTTATTCTTAGCCGGAGCCACACGGCGGTCAGTAAATCTTTAACCAAAGTTTAGCTCGTAAAGCTCTTTAACTAAATAAAGCCACTGAAGTACAGTGTTTTAAAAATTAATTATTTAATTATGATTAATCGGACGTGTGTATGCGAATGTAAGTTTGTTTGTTGGCATATTTTGTGGTGACAACGAAGCCTGGTCGAATAATCCTCTCTTTGGATTAGAGAAAAATTACAACTAGAGTATGTTCATTTCCCGAAAGAGATTCACAGTTTCCCGAGGGTAGAAGTAACTATAGCGTGGTGACGGATTAAGAATACAAAGTGTTACCACCCCTATTCATCCCGTGGGTATCGTAAGAGCCCACTAACCGAGCAAACTACGCAGGAGAACAGCACTGCAAAGAGAAGGCAAACTTGAAACAAATCTTCTACCAACCCGTCTGGCCTGCGTGGTATAGTAGGCCAAAACCTCCCTTCTAAGGAGGGGGCTATGTCCAGCAGTGGACTATTGAAGGCTGTTTATGATGATGCTGATGATAAGAAGTAACTATTAAATACACTAGATAAAATGTGTAATGCCATTAATAAAAGCTAGTATTATATTATCAAATATTGATGATCGATATTTTGATTTCTACCCAGCAGTGTGTGCAACAGACTGCTTAAATAGAAAGATTTTGCGTTTGCGTTCGTTGCGTTATATTATTAACACAAGGATTGTCAATGACATACATAAAATAAGAGAGATAGGTTTTTAAGAAACAAATCACAATGACTTACGGTTTCTTTTGCTAATTTAGATTAATTATAAGCATGCTGCTTCTAAACCTAACTCTGGTTAACCAAGCTAACTCCGGATGTATCAATATACTTATGGACTTAAAGCTCTGTTAAAATATCTGACATTGTCGATGTTCCTTTATATTTGAAAGCTTTAGACTTCAATGTTTATTACAATTTGTATAGGTACTCGATTTACTATACAATTAATAGCGTGGCACTCGCTAAGTGTTCAGACAACCAAGATGTATCTCTATTTATCATGTGTTGACAGTACAGTGCCCTGCCAAAAAAGCATTCAGAGGAGAACCAAATACCAGCTGCAGAAAGTACAAGTTTTCATATCAGTTAATTCAACTATGCTTTAGGCACAGGATTTTCGGGTTGAAAGTTATCCTTTTTGTGCGGCAATCCCCTAGGTTACTACCCACCGGACGACCGGTGGGGTGATTATGTCGGCATTGGGCCCCTCGCCGTCTCGGGTACCAGTAGCGGGGGAACCAGGTGTACCTCAGAAAGGTAAACCCTTGTACCTCAACGGACCTCAGGCCGTCTATGGCTTGTAGATGACCCTCTCTTGTATGGGAACAACGGTGTGCCCATTCTACTTTCTAACACTCTGCAGCGCGTTGGCCTGCTTCTGTTAGGGTGGCAGATGGCCTTATATGTCACCCCAGGGTCTTCGCTTATGGTAGACAGAGGTCCAGTTATTAACGGTTCTAACGAAACACCTACACAAAATAATATGTATCCGGTTATTTTTTGTTAAATCATAACTTATGTTAAAAACTATAACACAGTGTTTAGGCAAAATAGAACGTGTAACTCGTGAAGCAAGAAAACTTAGTAGAACGTGTTAACTTAGTGTCATTCCTTCTATTTAAAATACAGTTTTATTTTAATTAAGCATACAGTATATAGGGTCTACCAATAGGGATGACCTGGTTTTAACAGCTCATAGCGGCCATGTTTGATGATGGATCTTTGACGTCTCTTGACATTTGTGTTCAGTAAGGTTTGCCATTTTATCATGTCACGTTTCACTTTAAACCAACGCTTGGAAATTGTCCAAAACTTCTTTGAAAGTGACGAAGGAAACCCTGTTACTGTTAATGGCGAGCGCTATAACTCGATGTTAACCGAATATTTTTTTCCGGAATTTGATGATATTGATGCAGACGACCTTTATTTTCAACAAGACGGTGCACCACCTCACATTATTCGAGTGAACATGGAATTATTGCGTGGAAAGTTTGGTGAGTCGTTAATTACAAGAAATGGACCGATCAGTTGGCCACCAAGATCGTTTGATTTAACACCTTTAGACTATTTTCTTTGGGGTTACGTTAAATCTAAAGTGTACAGCAATAATCCAGCTACAATTCGTGACCTAAAAACCAACATTCGACATGCTATAGCCCACATACCGGCCGAAATGGTGCACCGCGTAATCGAAAATTGGCGTGAGCGTCTGCAAAAAGAGCCGCGGCGGTCATTTGTATTTAAAACATAAATATCATAAAATTATCTATGAAATAAATCAATTGGATGCATTTTTCATCAAAAATTGTGTGTTTTATTTAATTTTTAAAGCAGGATGTTCTTATTGGTAGACCCCATACTTAATCACTTAGTGAATGTGTCAGAAACATTTTCCGCATTGTCGCCTACTAGTAAGCGATCTCAAAAGACTCAAAACCATAACTATCAATTAAATGTATGATTTTTTTAACTATATTCGATTTGGCGTCCGCATTAATTAAGTTTATTGCAGGTAGCACAGGACTGGTTGTTGTGGCGAATCTTGGGTAAGGTCTGTGTCCAGCAGTGGACATCTTTGTGCTAAGATGATGATGATAATGATTAGATTTGGAACCACAACATTCCGAATCGAATTCTCACTAAAGAGAGAAAACTTTGGACTTAACTAGATACTTTGTTATCGAATCTAAGTCTTTTACATTCTTTCTGTTTCAGCCTTCATGTGGAAAGGTTTTGAAAACACGACAACTGCACTTACCCTATGGCTCCAGTACATCCGAGGGCCAATGGCCCTGGCAAGTAGCTATTTACCAGCAACGGGTGAGTTTTTTTATTATAAACGAATTTCTATTAAAATTATTGTTTAATCAATGTCATGAGTTAGTACACGGTACATAAATTAATTTAAGCGATTTGATAGCTCACAAATCGAAATGAAAATTATGGATTTCAAATTCATCTGAGGCCTACGTAAATTTAACTACACTATCGTTTTTATTAACTTTTTTATGTTTCGACAGTGCGATTCTTATTATCTTAAATTGACTCTGTATGATCCTCTTCCTCTTGAAGGGTTTCGTCCATGGCAACTACATTCCGCAACTACTCTCGACGTTCTTGTTCTTTCATGTGGCTTATATAGCTTATGTAGCTGATTTCGTTGGTGAAGATCCTATCGCATAGTGGGCATACAATATTTAAAATAACATTTTCATTTTTCTTAAAACTATTTTAATGATGAAATGATGCATGGATTTTATCACTGTGTTTAATTTTCACCCTTGCATCCTAAGAACCTTTTCAAGCAATCCTGTAAAATGCACATACTTGTTTGTAAATGAATGATGGATCGAGGCTGGACTATGGTGACCAGACATACTTATAATTGTTAATTTACTTTTGTAATTAATATTTATTAAATACATAAATATTATGAATGAATTACACCCATAGAGAGAACAAATAGTTTTACTTATCACATAGCTACTTGGCCGAGGTGGTTTGAACCTCATAATATTGGTCCTTGGTCATAATCACGAAATGTAAAAATATTGGGTTACAGTTTGACTCCTTTTTAGTGTCTTCTAAATTTGTGTCTGTTGTCTGTTCGACTCTCATGTTACATATCCTAACTTCGCGTTATTCAAATGATTTCACTCTTGTAATATTTAACCTTGATTGCTAGAAGTAGTTTTTGCCGGACCAGGTGGTATCGGCAATTTTTTTTTTAAATATTATCTGAGCTGCTTTCGACTCTTATCAACTTTATCGATAACCAATATATGTTTGCAACTGTATTAATATAATACACGAAAGTGTTTGCTACTGAACGCGTTTTGCACATAGATATTGTGAAAACACCAAACGAGCTAGTACGTTTGTGCAACCAGATACATAGCAGTATGATTTTTTATTGTTATTTTTTATCAACATTTCTTTTTCTGACCATTGTGATTAGGTATTGTGTTTATTACATCTGTTTCATTTATTAAAATAATAAACTGATCCCTCAATATAAGATATGAGATTTTAATTTCGACGTAGCAGAGCCATACATTGGCATATAATATATGGATCGGCTCGATCACAGTATAGCAGTTTTTCGTTTTAGTTTAATAACGCGTTAGTTTAAGTTGGTCAATATAGGCGATAACCAAGCATGTGTTCGTATAAACTATTAATTCGATATTAAAACTTTATTTCATTCAGGATTCGGGAATTTCAATATGCCACGCTAATTGGCCGGTTCAACTACGTTCGGCCAGATAATGCTAGAATTTCAGTCTCGCCCTCGAACTTTTCATCTTGAACTGGCTAAGCTACGCCACTCTAAAAGACCGCATAATTACAAAATTTAAATAAATGATCCGCTATGTGGTGAATGTTTAATTGCGTTCTCACTTTAAGTGTATAATTAAAGTGCCGAGAACCCTTATTTGCAAGAGAAGTAAAGCGGACTCAAGATATAAGGGCAGCCGGCTAACCCCCCACAAGAAAAGGCTTCCACCACCATGTAAAACGTCATTAAAACGGACAAGTTATTTATTGATTACTTGAAATCACTTTCCAGTCAATATTCGTGTCAAAAAGGTATTTTTCTCATACTGCGCTTTAATCAGCGCGACAGCAGGTCATATATAAAATATGTACTGTCAAAGAAGCAATACTTTTGGTAACTGCCGGTTGTATTTATACAGTGGATGTAATCCTACCAAGTAATCTATTTAATTTTCCAGTCTGTAGACCTGAAATACATTTGCGGAGGTACCCTGGTGTCCCAACGTCATGTCGTCACGGCAGCACATTGTGTCACGAGGAAAAGGACTATGAGCCTTGTGCATACGAAAACTATAACTGTCTACCTGGGCAAGTTCAACCTCAGGCTTTCTGTTGAAGGAGTGCAGATTAGATTTGTAAGTAAAATTTTATTACTTTATTACTTTTAAAGTTTATAAAATAAAATCTATGTGTTTATGACTGGATTTATACATTCTTGAATTTCGAATTTTTAAAAATTTGTTAGTAGACTGTCAATACCAATACCGTTGAATCTGTCTTGCCATTGGGTAATTTTAAAAGAGTCTCATTCAACAATTAGATAACACAAGATGATATAAGTCTAGATGCAGGCCTGTTATCTTATTATTTAGTGTTTCTGACTGCTGACTGATCGTGGCTTGGATTACCAATTGTCTGATAACGCACGGTAAATTATTCTGTGTCTAAGTGCGATTTATCTACAATGTGATTGAATCTGTGTTGAATTTTATGTTATGAAGTCTGGTTAATTTAAGTAAATGCTCTACCCAGATCGGAATTACACCCGCCCGCTTGGGTGGGTCTCACGGTATTATTTATGGTCTTAATAATTTTACCCTTTATTGCCATTATAAAAGTTCACAACGCTTTAATTTAGTTACCGTACACACCTAACTTCTCAGTGAAACTATCACCGTCAATCCGATTCATGTCAAAGTGGATTAGGCCCTTTGTCTTTGACTTTGTCTCACAACAGGTTCAAAAGCGGTAAGTTTAATTGATTGTGAGAACTTGGGACATTGCTAATTTTAGTTGAAACCGCTTGATCAATACCTTTCCACACTACTAATTTTAATGTGATTACATAATGTACTATATTTTAGTCAGATCTATAGTTATTTGGCTTTGAATACTCTTAGAGTTTATTTCCCAACTTTTTAGTTATCTTTTTGAAGAATTGTTTTCATAAATATTCTAATGAAGGGTTTTAATTATTTCGTTATATTTTTTTTTTATTGAGTAATAGAAGCAGAGGGACATTTTTTAAAGGAGACTTGGTGCTATAATGTTAATAAAACTATCATGCATGTTTTATTGTTGAAGACTAGCAATTTTTTTAAAGTAGAGCAATTTCAAGAAGTCATTGTAGTAATGTGTCATACTTTTTTCTATGTTATAGGGGTCAAACGAGCAGGCAAGTCACTTGATAGTAAGTGACTACCGCCGCCCACGGGCACACCCTTCCAGCGTTTGGGTGTGGACCTCCTGTAACCCAATTCAATCAGTGAAAAGGTATACAGATGGCCATGAGACGGTGAGATTGGGCTTTTAGGATTTATAAGAGGGACCGTGTCGAGGTTAACTGGCAACTGTATAAATCTGCGAGAAATCGGTGTAACCAGATGATACGGAACGCCAAACGCCGCCATATTCTAGATAACATCTCCTCTTCCTCTTCTGGGGACATCTGGAAGTTCCTTGGAACTCTTGGTATCGACAGGTCGCGATATGTAGACTTTCCACAATCCATAAGTTTCGATTCCCTGAACCAACACTTCACCACTTCTTTCACGTTGAACAGTTTATCTTCACATAATACTCTGAATTATAGCAATAGTCTACTGCTAACTTAAGTTCTTTTCACTTTAGTCCTGTCGCAGAAGGAGAGGTTAAGAAGATTATCCTGTCTATAAAATCCCAAGCGGTTGGGCGTGATGGCATTAGTCGGAGAATGATCACCACATTACCAGTCCGCCTCCTTCCCGCTATCTCCCATATTGTAAGCTTTTCCGTTATGTATTGCACATTTCCTTCTCTGTGGCGGAGAGCGTACGTGTGCCCGTTGCCTAAAACTCCTAATCCGTCTCTTCCCTCACATGTTTGTCCAATTTCTATCCTACACTTCCTCTCCAAAGTACTGAAAGTCTGCGTCCATAAACAGTTCGCCCACTTCATTTACAGCAAAAATTTACGTAGTTCTTTCAAATCAGGGTTTCGACCAGGCCATAGCATGGTATCCGATCTTCTTAAAGTGACTAGCGACATTAAGGTGGGGATGGAGAATACTAAGGTTACTACCGTAGTATTGGTAGATTTTTCTAACGCTTTTAATACCGTCAGTCATGAGCTCCTCCTTGCTGTCCTATCCCATTTCTCGGTCTCTCAAGAAACACTGGACTGGTTTTCCTCTTACCTTTGGGATCGTCAGCAGTCAGTCAGTATGGAAGATTCTTTCTCTGGCTGGTGTGATCTCGCTGTTGGCGTCCCTCAAGGTGGTATTCTTTCACTTCTTCTATTTTCCATCTACATTAACCTTATCACCCTTAGACTTTAGTGTTCCTATCATCTTTACGGTGATGACTTGCAGTTGTTCTACCAAACCGAGTTGTGAAATATATCGTCCACGGTTTCGAGTGTAAATAGTGACCTAGCGGCCATTAAACATTGGTCCGATATATTTGGCGTATCGGAGAATTCGAACAAATGTCAGGCCATGAACATCGGGAGTAACCGTGGTATGAGCCAGCTCGACTTTGCTACTCTTCCACCTCTTTTCTACGATGATATGGTTATTAAATACTGTGAAAGCGTGAAAGACCTCGGACTATATATTGACACGACTCTTAGCTGGCGGCAACAAGTTGCACCTGTGTGCCTGAAAGTCGCAGGATCGTTGCGGGCCCTCTATAGGCTTAAGAACTTTCTGCCAGTGAAAACTAAGATAATGCTTGTTTAGACTCTAATGTTCCCTATAATCGACTATGGTGATGTGTGTTACTTTGACCTGAATGCAGATCTACTCAATAAGCTTGACCGCTTTCGCAATAATTGCATTCGATTCATTTTCAATTTACGCAAATATGATCACGTATCTCAGCATCGCTCCCTTTTGGAGTGGCTTCCAATTCGCCAACGCAGAGAGACGGGCATTAACTTAACTACCTTATAATCTTAACTCTTTTCTCTAAGTTCTCCTTCTTACTTAACTAATCAAGTTCAATATTTAGGTGCAAACTACCCTAAAACCCTTAGATCTTCAAGCAACCTACTTCTTCACTGTCCGACACCTCTGACTTCGTACATTCTACTTTTCTGGTACAATCTGTTCTGTTATGGAATACGCTCCCTCTCGAGATCAGGATGGCAAAAACTCGGCAAACCTTGAATACCTGTTGCTATATTTTTCATAAAATAACTTTTTTATATTCTTTTGTGCATCTATCATGTTTTAACTCTGCATCGCCCTAAGGTTGACTGGGAGAAAATGCCTACGCCGCCTTTGTCACATTTGTGCATAAAGTGTAAATAAATAACTAAAAAAAAGCAACAGTTCTCCCACGGTTGAGTACCTCGTCAAATACTACAAAGATTTTCAATCTATTTGACAATCGTGTAATATTTCAGGTAAAAGGCATAAGAGTTCATCCTGAGTATAATTCGACGACCTTTAGCCGGGACTTGGCTATCTTAGAGCTTCGGAGTGCAGCAGATATCACAGACTTGGTGAGACCTGTGTGTCTTTGGCCCGAGGACGAGATAGGCCTAGAAAATGTTGTTGGACAAACTGGCTCGGTACGTACATTTTCCACTACTATTTGGACATTGTTTACCACATTTAAGTATAGATAAACATACCTATGTTTATCTATACTTAAATTTTGTGAATCCTGTTTTAAGTTCTCCTTTTGAGCAAATAATTTGGTTTTTTAAAACAATATAGGGCTCACCACAGACTAATAACTGGCAATAGGCTGACAAAGGAGACATTGCTCAAGTCTTCATCGAGACGACTTTGTGGTACACCGCGAAGGAGATAGAAAATTAGGCAATATAATGTTTCGCTTTTTATATGGATAAACCATTGCATTAGTATTTTATTCACAGGCTTATATACTATGGTTTTGTGACAAAAAAAAAAAATAGTTTTCACAATTATTTTAAAATTATATTTGTTCATGTAACACTGTTTTGTGTAGTTTTTTGTTGCCATTATTTGCTCTTTCCTATAGTCCATTTACAAGCACATGAACTATCTAATGGCATTAAAATTACATTAACACAAAATTAGAGGTAAATATCTTAATCCTAATATATGTTCTGATAACAGGTAGTTGGCTGGAGTTTTGAAGATTCTAGTTTAACTAATGCTGAACTACATCTTACGGAGATGCCGGTGTTTGACCATGACACCTGCATCAGCGCCTTCGATAATTTCTATGAGACGTTGCTGTCTGATTACACGTATTGCGCGGGATACAGACAGGGTAAGAATTCTTCATCATTATCATCAACAGTATTTAGTAGTCCACTGCTAGACAAAGAAAGAAAGTTTGGCCTACTATACCACGCTGGTTAGACGGGTTCGTATATGTTTTGTTTCAAGTTTTCCTTTTCTTTGTAGTGCTGTTGCCCTGCGTATTTTTGCTTAGTCAGCTCTTAGGACACACAATGTATAATGAATAATGGGTGGTAATAATCCGTATTCTTAATTCGTTACCGCACGAATAAAATACATCTTGTATGATTAGATCTAATACATGTATTTAGAATCATCTAATTTTAAAACGATCTATGAACTATTAGACAGTCACTCCGAATGATATATCAGGCATGATATATCAGACGGTAGGTATCGTCGCGTTCTAATTCTTCGTCTTCGGAGGTGGTAGTCATAAAATGGTTATCCAGCTCATCCTGTAAGTTTAACGTAAACTTCTATTAATTTCATCGGTGTGCTTGACACGCAACGCTCGTTTTAGCTACATCGGGACCAGTACCAATAATATACAATCGTGTATACGAATGTAAACATGCGACACCATCCTTACATCTGCCGCATTAAAACATATGTGTTTAATATTTATATCCCTCATTTTTGTTTAGGTACAGATACATGCAATAGTAACGACAGCGGTGGTGGCATGGTGTTTAAGAAAGGCAAATCCTGGTACCTTCGAGGTATCGTGTCTGTTTCAATATCCTTGCAGAACGAACATCGTTGCGACTCAAAACACTTCATTGTTTTCACTGATATTGCAAAATTCATACCATGGATCAGGGATTATATAGACTGACGATGATGATTAATAAAAAAATTAAAACAACTAATTATAAGGATAAACGTTAAGAAAGGAGATGTAATATAATTTTAAGTTTCGAGTGATAAATTAGTCTATTCTTTTTGTGATAATGTATAATAAACAATACAACATTCAAATATACTATGATAACTTTTTTTTTGTTTCGTCTAAAATCTTATTAATTTTAAATAATTGAATTAATAAGTAATAAAATGAAAACTATTTTTTAAACCTCAAAAATAGTAGTTTGATAATACCAAAATCTCAGAGGCATACCCATATTCTTACCAACATTTGTGTTTATTTTTACTAAATATTCTTCCTGTGTTGAAAATTGATTATCCAGCTACTTAAGTGTTATCGACTTAAAAATGTAAAAATGAAGTTAAATATAGTATATTTAACAAATTACACATTCATTTCAACATTAAATACCATTATTTTTTTAAAATACTCGTAGACCCATGACGATACTGTTAGTGAAACTATTTTAAAAGAACATCTATATCAAAATAGTGAGTGATTTATATTAAAATTCCTGAGCATTAATTTTTAACTACTTTTCACTTTCATCATGCTCGCAATTTTTCTATTATCAAAATAAAAAATAGTTGGCAAAATTTGGCTTGGGTAAAAACATCTCTGCTTAACTCTCGGCAAGTCAAAAACCAAACAGTTCATTTCACTTTGTCGTCTATTTGTCAAGGGATTTTTCGTAGTATCTACTAATCAGCAGTCTGAACTACGAGTAATAACACCAAAGGTGTTATTAGTTCCAAAGTGGAGAAAAACAACTCGGACGAACAGCTTTTGCAGTGGCTAGTGAAACCAAAGGATTTTGTGGTTTTCTCATTACCCAAGCAGAATAAGATAGCATGCAAAGCTCTGCGTCATATTTCATTGTGACGTATAAGATAGATCAAGTTGGTAACTATGAAATGAAGCTTTGAATTAGTCTTGCGCGGTTTACTTAACTAGAACACGACATAGAACAGATTTTACCATTTTATTTTATAGTTTGGTGAAATATAATTGTTCTTGATACATATTTTTAATTAATTACTATACAACACAACACTGTAAGTATGGTATATTTTGAACGTATAAGACAATAGGCTTGTGTCCACTAATAACAAATTGCTTGATAAATCAATCAATTGATAGTTTCAAATTATAAATGAAGAGACATAGATAAGAAAAAGCCAGTCTATTTATCATAAAAGTTAAAGATTATTAATATTTATATTTAAAAAAAAATGAACAAAATAGGCATTAAGTCACGTAACAGCGAACACCAATCAGAAAGTGCTACGTCACGCCACGCAAAACATTGTTGTTGTTGACGTTTTCATACAACAGAGTCTTATTGTTTTTTATTGACACTGGACACAGCTGGACACAGATGTGAACAGTTTTGTTTCGCAGACTGTGACGTCATTTAAAATGCGTTCAGCTATTCAGCGTTTTCAAGGGAAATTTAAATTGTTTTTTTTTAATACAAAATACGTAATGTAAATATTACTTTTTCTTTAAAATATAGGTTTTTAAGGATAAAATAGATATTTAAGTATACAATTGACCAAGTTTTCAAATTGAGACAAATAGCCTATTCCAAAGACGTTTTTGACATAAACGAACTTCAATACTTATACCACAGATAATCCTCTTAGGTCGTAATCTGTGACTCATATATACATACATTCAATTACTATGTAGAGAGAAACATCATTCTTCTTTTATTATTCTTTGTTAAGTATTAAAACCGATTTATCAATATTATGCCGTGATTGTACAAGATATATCTCATTATTCACGTAAAGTAGTAGTATTCATGAAAACTCTTTCACGGATTAAAGATTGGGTTAAAAAAGTATTACGTTATTACTTATTACGTACGGTTAGTGTTTGTAGTATACCGTACCTGCGTATCACCTAGCGATATAAATAAAAGCATTGCATTATGCACGTGTATTGCGTTGAAGCCATCCGTCAAATAAATTGAAAACTTTATATTATTTAAGTCGCATCTGATTTCTGTCTTTCTCAAAAGCTGTCGAATGAAGGCAGTCAGAGTTGGTAACTAGCAGGTAACGCCTGATGATTGGTTGGGTCTAGAGAGGAGTTAGAAACATAGTCCGACTTAGTACTATTCAGAATCCACTTGCCGTTTATTGTACACAATCTAGGTAGCAATTATTCATTACTGCTAATGAATACTAGACTATCAGATTCTGGTTTATAAGGGGCGGAAAAATTAACTTAGAAATAATGAACTTTGAAACGTTTACGTATTCAGAAGATCTTATGAGTTAAAACTAGCAATTTAATGATTTAGAAAAATCAAATATGTATTATAGATGATTTTAAATAATTGATGACTAATTACATGAAATAAAGTAGTAGAATTTTAATCTGAAAAGTGAAGTAGCTACTCAAAATTACTATATGACCGTTACTTAATAAAAAAAATTACAACTTTCAGCGATGAAATTTAAAGACTTTTTACATTTACGACTCAAAAAATAGTAAAAAGTAAAACTAAAAGTTCTTAAAACTCGTATTATGCTATAATTTTAAACTATTCAGTAGCTGTTGGGCTAATGGATGGAAAGATTGCTGCATGAAAAGAGAAAATTGAAATGGATCAGAAAAAATACGCCAGCATTATTTGGAATACCTTTATAACAAATGTGTAGTATTTATTAAAAAAGTTTCTTTGTGAATCTGTCTGAGAGAATTTAGAGAGCCTTTGCCCATAAATATTCCAATGCTTTCGAGGGAAGTAGGGCGTTGTAAACCTTTGCCCAATTTTAGAGTCAAATGCCTGTGTAACTTCTTCAATCTTACAAGGGATTTACTGCAAATACCTGTATCAGTTTTTATTTGAAATTTGATATTCAACTCGATAGAAAGATAAGTAGATAATTCTTTATTGTGCACCAATAGAAGTAATAATATGAACACAGAACAAAATTTAAGATGGAATGATTAACTTATATTTGAGTATAAACAATAAAATAAGAACGTAAAAAGTATTTGTTTATCATAGATGGATGTTCTAATGGGTTACAGAGTTACCAACATATTTTTCAGCTTACACTAAAGGTTTTAGCTTTTTATATGATACTAGCTGGTACCCGCGACTTCGTTTGCGTGGTACTTGAAAAGCCCTGCCATGAGCAGACCGGACCGGGCAAAATGTTATAGGGTTTCTCTCAGATGAAAAATAACCTAAGTTACTCCTCATATAGACAGCTACCTGGTAGTAATATATCATCAAAATTGGTATAGCCGTTTAAACAAAAACCAACAAAGAAACTGGTTTTTAGGCGAAGGTATCGTGCAAAAACTGTGTGATCTTGAAAAAATCTAATATTTTGACATTACAACAGACACTTCATTTAATTTATTTGTATATATATAAACATATAAGTATGCGTAAGTATAATAAGTAGATAGTAATAAGTAAAGTAAGTAATAATAATAAGAATAATAAGTATAGTAGAGACCGCGAACAGGTATGTAGTAACGACACCTCCTAGATGGACTGATGGTTTAAGAGGGGTACCTGGGGTAGACTGGATGTGAAAGGAGAAGAATAGAGGGCTATGGTGCACTTTGGGAAAGGGGCCTTTCCCTCCTTATTAAAATCTAACAGTTCAGTGAATTCCTCTCTGTTTGTTAGGGAATTAAAGGGAATAGATACTCAGGCAGGCATAATCATAAATATTACAACTTCTGTTCGAAGTATTTTACTAATTTTATGCAAAGCTGCGGTGCTTTGCATAAAATTAGTAAAATACTTCTGTTCGGTGACCTACATATTATATATAATAATAATTACAACTACTGACATAGACTTAAGTATCACTAGCACTTATGAGTCTGGTCATAGTCTGGTCACTTGAATAAAGAACTTGGATATATAGGATATATAGAGCAACCAAATTAGTCTAGTAAACTTGGTTAGGTTCTAAATGCACGCCAAGATGCACTCAATGGCTACCTGTAAGGTATTAAGCCTTGTAGTTATAAGTTTTGGTCCAAAATTTTGATGAACGAGCTGGATATATGCAAAGTAAATTTACCTGTTAAAGTAGACTCGTCAACATTTCGTTCAATTTACCGGTAACCGTTGATTAGTCTTTGTGATATCAATAATCAGAGTTTGTTCCATGGACTTTTGACTTACATAATCTTAGTTTTCAAATGCTTTTCCTGGTAGGGTTTCATAAAATATTTCTTGAAAAATATATTTTGCAAACATTTTTAGACAAGTGCAGGCATTTTATCAACATGCTCTATAACTATTTAGCATTAATTTTAGTACTAAGAAAATATTGGATCAGTGAAGATGTATTACAAGTGTTTTATTCACCAGCATATAGATGAAGACCTGGTCATCCAACCATTGTTAGTATTTAACATTATTGTCGAGGTCTGCTGTACGATCTTACTTTGTTTACCAAACTCTGTATGACAATAAAAAATATATAGACAAATAAACAAACAAGTTTATTGAACCATCAAATTTACATTTTGATAAGTGCTCTGTCTCATAGCTTACTATGTTGATTAACCTGTGTCTTAGAAGTCAATGCCTTCCTTAATTAGAGATACAATTGTTGGTGTGTGTGTATGTGCGTGTGTGCGTGTGTGGGTGGACTTATGCGTAACCGATGCCTTTAGCTTTCACGCTTATTTAAACTATTGTCAATCTTTATACTAAGCCCTGACCATTAAGATTAAGAAAAATAAATATTATTAACAAAAAAATATTCTCATTTGTCATTTTCCTCATTTATAACTTCGCTTGACTTCGTCGCGTTTAATTTGAAAATGTTCTATTCCCGGACCGGGCAAATTTTTTATAGGGTAGTTCTGAGAGAAAAAAATGCCTAAGTAACTCCTTATTTAGATAGCTACCCGGTAGTAAAATTGGTTTGGATTGAAAAATCGGTCTAGCTGTTTTGAAGATTACCCGGAACAAACAGACAGACAAAAAATATTTTAACTGGTTTTTAGGCATAGGTATCTTGGAAATAACTGTGTGAGCGTGAAACATCATATTACTCGTATTTTGACATATCAAACAGACACTTCAATTTTATTTCGTCGAAAGACGTCCACTCCTAGAGATAGGTTTCCGGTCCTGTACTGCCCGCATCCAAAGGCGCAACCTTAGTGTTCAATAATATACTAGGAAAATTAGAATGAAAAATTTTCACTGGTTTATTTTTTGAGGACTGTACTATATTGTAGTTGCTTTTCTAAACATTATTACTTTCATATTATTTACTAGCTAAAAAAGGTTTATAGCAGATTCACGTAATATATCTTATTATTCTTCAAGCTATGAATTTGTTGTAAATATCTTTAACAGCTTTTCAAATATTCCACCTAGCTCAAAGATTGTTAAACTTTTTCGATAACATTAAGCAAGGTGGATTCATCTATAAAAACTTAATTTGTTAATATTTAAGACGGTTTCAACAAGTTTTCCGATGATTTTCTCTCTACGTAGAAATTAAAACCTTTCGAAGCTTTGGTAAAGTTTGTCTAAATTGATGTTCGGCTTTTCCCAAATTATTATTTTTCTAGGCTAAGAATAAACGCCATAACTCACTCTGCCTTCAGCTGTGATTAACGCGTACATTGGTATTGGCCTCCTCCCTCCCCTAGTAGTGGGTAGTAACCTCTGTATTATAAAGAAATAAAAATTATACAAGAACGAATACAAATACAAAAATGATCAGAGTCAGTCACTTCGACTTAGAGGTCAAGTAACCGAAGCGGTTTAAAATGGAGGATTTCGTTAGAGGAGTAGGTAGTTAAAGTATTCCGCGATACACTTTGGAAACACTATTTTTCGCTTGGGATTTAAGTAATAATAATAATCTTATATTCAGGTATCTTAGACCCATGCAAATTGTTACAAATTTCAAAACAGAGTTTAAATACAAAGATAAAAATAATGAAATAAAATAAATAAAACATCACTTACCTCTGGTCTCTCTTTATACAAACCTTGGCGCAGTGGTTCATATAGGTAGAGTGGAGCCTAACAGCTATCATAGCAAGAATTCGATTGGGGCTGCACTCGAACTCTGCAGAGTAAGGATGATTACATCACTATTGAATTGTGGACTAAAAGCAATCCACCCTGGCTTCGGCACACATTCCTGACGGGCTGCAGAAAGGAGGCAGCCTCAACAATGCCCAGAACGCGTTGTTGAACGGCACCCGCAGAGCGTTATACGTTTTTTGAGTATATCTAGCCCAGAGGCTTGTAGGCACGGAACACCGTAATTTTCAATTGTCGTGAGCATCTAGCAAATCTGCGAGCCAGCATGTTCACTGTAATGGACAACGCTCTACGTTCGCGCTCAATGTCTGCATCATCTTTGAGGTCGGTAGTCAGCAGATGACCAAGGTATTTAAACTGCTGCACCCTAGTTAGAAGCAGCCTCACCAGTATTATACCTTTTTTTTGCGTGTGGAAATCCCTTCGGGCCGTCACCACACCGGGGTTGCGGCGGGTGGTGTGTTGGAATCGTACCGACTAAAACCACACGGTGCGCCACTCTGCTCCTGAAATAGGAGGAAATTGTGTTGTTTTAAATAATCTATCATAAAATCTCAGCAGTGATTGATAAAAATGACTGCACGGATGGCGTAGTGGTTAAGCGGTCGCCACGCTGCTAACTACTACGTCGAGTGTTGTGGGTTCAAACCCCACACGGGACGACACTTTGTGTGATCCACAAATTGTTGTTCTAAAAAAAATATTCTAACTGGTGTCACAGGTATCAGTTGTTATTATCATGTAAAAATCCCCATTGAATACTATACGTACCTACTGCGTTCGCACTTAGTTACATTCTATCTCATTACGTATTTAAGTTAATGGAACCGAGTAGTGTATGCACTGCAAAGCCGACTAATGTGAGCCGTAATGCGATGTTCATTAAGAGTTTTATATCCTCAGTTTTATATAAAGTACTGAATGTATGTAGTAGTAGATTATCAGATTTATTTGTGCCAAATTATTATATTAACGAAAATAATATTAAAACATTGAGCCGTCGCTGGATGTTTGGCAGAAGTGAAACATTGAAAATATTATGTAGAAATAATGAGTATAAAACGATAGCTTATGCCAGATACGCCCCGCCAACACCCGGTCTGACCCTCCGCATTTTAATATTATATTCTTCTCTATAGGATTCTTCTGCCTTTTCTATGAAAACCTTAAATACGTGGTTCTTTGAATTAGAGATTTTTATTATCCTTCCCCAACCATGTATATTTAAATACGTATGTAATAACCTATCATTTTACTCTTTTTAAGTGATATCATTTTAGTAGAAGTATATTAAATGTTTAATCAGGGTTGAATAAATCTGTCTGTCTGAGCAGTCTGAGTAGACTCACAATTAGAAAAACAGAACTTTGATTCGATTATCATATTATGGGCAAATTTGTAACTTTAAGTAGGTGATTTTTTAATGTTGAAAAAAGTCAGTTCCTGTAGGTCTTAATGCTGTAATGATTTAGTCTTTTCTCTATTATCAAAATGGTATTTTGACAACTTTTAAAATATAACGTCAAATTCAATGTATACTAATCTCATAGGACATATAATAACTATAAATTCTACTGTATAAATATTGGAGTACAGTTAGTACTTAAATTCAAAGTCATAATGCAAAATTTACAAGGAGTTGAATTCAATAAGTTCATCTTACAAAACTTGGCCAAATATATGCCTGGAGATTTGGTTAATAATGTGCCACAACGTAGGGCATCCAACATCAGTACACTGTCTAACTTGATTTGGAATGTCCGTAAGCCGGAGCTGGTGAGCAAGCTCTGGCCTATGACCGTGCTAATAGGCGTGTGTGAAGTCGTTATTGGTCTGTGTCTTTTAGTATATATTTGTCTCTTCATCCACGACTATGATATCTTATACGATACTGAAGACTCCAAATGTAAGTACTTTATTTTTTTTTGCAAAAGAATTGGTGAGATGTACAAGCATTACTTAATAAAAGAATTATTGTCGAAATTTCTGCCTGATCGGCCACCAAGATTGGTATTTAAAATTTACTTTCGTTTATTTCGTTTATTTGAAGTGTATGTACATAATGAATATAGATTATGAAAATAATTTTGCACTTTTGAAATATTTTTTAAATTTAATAAAATACAGATGTTACCAGTGCATAAAAATGTATATCGGTAGTTAGTTTAAGCGATGAATCTGCTTTAGGTCATCTGCGTCAAGTCACTTTGTCAAAGTTCTTAATGGGTATTTATGGTATTGGTCAATGGTCTTGGTGTAAAAGGCAACCTATAATAAAACCCACAAATAGAAAGGCGTACCTATGTCATATATACAACTATACAAATACAAAATAGTTATTAGACCAAATGTCCAACACGTACTTACGATATTTTAAAGCTTTAAAAATACTTTGCAATTAGTTTATAGTGTTACCTAATTCAATTGTCTTAGTGTTGTCATACATAAAATGCTTAATTTTATTTGCAGTAATAAGTTATTTATCAGTTTTCGGTTGTGCTTATCTCATGCTCACTGGACTTATGTTGTTGTTTGCTCTTATGTTAGAGAATCAAGAATCAATACGTGTAAGTACCAATATCATTATATTTATTATACTACGACATAATTAAGTTGGTTTGCATCGCCTTTATTGATGACATCCACGGATAAAACTGATACGGATTTATTAAAGTGATACAGAAATTAATGAATGGAAACCTAAAATTTTTCTGTCCCTTGTCTTGTGCCATCAGGCTGTTGTTGATAACAATGCCATTGTAGTGTGCTGTGCTGTAGTGTGCTAGTACTGAAGTGTACCAAATATTAGGCAGCAGAACCCTTAAATTAATGATCAACACAACTTCAGTTCTGGGCATTTTTATACTTGAATACGTTTTCTAATTTAGTTTTTTAAATTTCATTTTATTATACATGAAACAAGCCTTAGCCCGCGATATGCACTAACGTGTAATTTACTATCCTTAATAAAAGTCCCATTTCCTGTTATTTATAATATATTTAATATTTCAATAATATTTTCACATATCTCACACACGTCTGATCCCAAACTAGGCAGAGCCTGTACTATGGTAACCAGGCTGCTGATAAACAAATACAGACCAAATGATCGTGCTAATCACACAATTATTTGTCGTAGGTGGGAATCGAACCCACGACCTCTGGCGTAGCAGTCAGAGTCATTAACCACTTGACCAACAGGCCAGTCAATACACTTAATTGTTGTATTTTGCCCATTTGTGTAATTATTTTACTAATAATTGACCTTTCCCAGCACCGTAGAAGAGTCATGCTTCAGCAAGTATCAGCAGGCTAATGCTACTACGGCTTCAATGAAAACCGTTGCTAAACATTTCTTTTGTTACCTGGAGTTGCACGTGTCTATGGGCGGCGCTAGTCGTTTACCATCAGGTAGTTAGTATATGCTCATTTGCGTACTTTACCATACAAAATGTCTCCTTTATTGTTTCAGATTCACATATTTATGGCGGTATTTATGTGCGTTTACATGTTTGTGCTGGCATGTGTTAAGATACATTTGTCACTTCTCGTCATTGAACGTGGTAAGATATTTCAAGAATTACCGTGATATTAATTAATTACTTAAGTAAATTTGACAAGTGGCAATATTCACGGTTATCACTAACAGTCACAAAGTTTACCATGTGTATTGAGGACATTGGTATTAACATGCTGTATTATTTTGCCAAATCGTATGCCGACGCCGAAGAATGGCTCTTCGACAGTAAGGTTTTTCCAAATTTATCCCCATTTTAGAAACTTGACCAACTTTTCTTTTTCTAAGAAACTTATGGGAATTAAACATTAATTTTAGGTAGTCTTTTTAAAACCGGTTTACCCATTAAACCCCGCGGCGGCCTACCTCGGCAGTCGGGAGGAGCTCCTCGAACGCATCGGCGACTTCTGGAGTCCTCCCTGCCGTACCCCATGTCTGAGGCACATCCCGAGTGACCGTAGTCACCCTGGGGCAGGACGCTACCGCGCCTCTCACTGCTCTACAGAGTAAACGTCGCGCCAACAGCGTCCCGCCTTAGAGGACACCCCCCGGCCGCACCGGAGTGTCATCTGTCTCGGGTCGTTTACAGCGGTCACATCGCCCCAAGATGTGGCCGCAGGGACCCTTAGGCGGCGATTGGGGACTTAGCAACCCCTGCCGCGTCCCCTTCGCCGCCTCTTTTGAGCGGGATCGGCCCTCTCCCCATTCCGCTCTGCAGCCTCCTTTTGGAGCATAACGTCCTCGCAGAAGGAGTCATTGTCGGACCCGCAATGGTGGCATTGTGCCGTAACCTCCCGTCCAATTCGATTCAGATACTCACCGAAGCAACCGTGCCCGGTAAGCATCTGATTCATTCGGTAGGTGACACAGTCGTTCCTCCCATCCACGCTTTGAAGCTCGGCAGAACGGCTCCGACGGCGCGTTGGCTAGCACAGCCCTGGAATACAAGCCGTGCCTGCCACGCCCGCAGAGCGTGCGTATGCGCGTTCCGCCACCAACCTTTTTTGGACTAATTATTTACTAACTAAAATAAAGATTTCTTGAAGCAAATTACTTACAAAAGCATGCAATGTTTATGTATATACAAGCAATTAAACTATTTCTTGTTTAAAAATATTGAATAATATTTTGCTTAATACACCTATTATTTTACACAGATGCGGAAAAACTAATTGACCAAGCTACAAAACATAATGTACTTTTGAGCCTAGGATGTGTTATTGGTGTAGCTACTTTGTTGGGATCAGGCAAGTACTTCTACATTTTCCATTTGGACGGACAACCCAAAAGAACTACATAGAACTGGATCCTGAACTTTGTCATTTGCCTGATAAATACGGTAGATATGGTTGGCACGTATTCTGATTGCTTATGAAGAAGAGCCGAGATCTGCCGATGATCTTCTGTCTCGAAAATTTCAATGTGAAATTTTCTTTGATGATCGGACGAAATCGAATCAAATTGAAACGGACTGTCCACTTTATGTTGATTTGATTTTATCCGATATCAAATAAAATGTCACTACAACATAGTTTCAGATTGGACTCACTTTTCCGATGCAAGTGCACATTTTACTAGTTTCGTTTGTTTAGATAAAAAAATGTTTAGAACTAAAAATTGGTACTAGAATAAAAAAATATTTAGAACCCCTAGAGGTCTAGAAAGCAATTTAGGTAAGTACGCAACTATTTTATACGCGATAATAGTATAATACCGAAAAACTAAAGAGTTCCCCGAAAAGATACAGGTCTATCTATTGGTGATGTGATCGGAACGTCCAAAGAAACAGATCTGGAATCGCCTTTTCTTGTGTTCTTTATGCAGATAATATGCATGAAATGAATCTTTATTCGTTACAATTTTACATTACTATTTATAAGCGAGTAAAAGTTCAGTTGAGGGAAAAGTCTTTGATTTTTTGGAGATTGATATGAATTATTGTTATAATTGACTGGCCAGTTTACCTAGTGGCTATAGACATGAAAATTATTGCTACTTTTCAGTCTTTTAATTCATATTCATTTGATGAAATGATTGATTTCAGTTACAGCGATTTCACATGTGATTGTGATTTGCGAAGAAAAATAAATAGCATTAAAATCAATCAAAATTATTTTTATGAAAGATTACCTTTCTTTTTGATGTAGACCTTACGCGAGTCTTGCGCTAGCGTAATAATAATAATTAAGTAGCAGTGGTTTTGTGAACCAGTCACAGGTGTGATGGTATGACATATAAATCATATGATTTATCACATGTTATTTCATGCCATCCCTAATGGTAAGTGATCCTGACTGCTAAGCTAGAGGTACTAGAGTCAAATCCCACCCATTACAAATAATTCTGTAATGAGCTCATTCGATCTGTTACATACTGCGCCGACCCCAAATAAAATTGGGAAAAGGGTAGGCAGATGATGATGATGATGATGATGTAAGTTTTTAGAAATCTAATTAAAAGTATGTTTATCAGCAGTCTGGTTACAATATAACAGGCTCTGCCTAGTTTGGGATCAGACGGCCGTGTGTGGCATGTGAGGTTATAATTATAATTATTATAATTTATATGAAAAAATGATTCTTCCAGGTGATTTTAGGCCACGTTACATTATAGTTTGACAAAAAAAAAAAACATTTCTTTTACAGTGGTGTATTTTATTGCTACGGTGGCTGTGTTTACATATTACAATCTAAAATACGTTCAACCGAATTAAGAATCTGACACAAAACCAATTTGGAGTGTAAGTTACGACTACAATGCTGAAACTGCGTCACATCTCAACATCAAGCTTACCCTAGCTTCCATTTATCAAGAAGAAGTAAAGTGATTGTTTTAATGCTTCCGTTAACAAAACGTAGCATTTTTGGCTCTTGATCTTGATGAAGCATTTTGTGTATCAAGTATACATATGTATATGGTTATAGAAAATCATGAGGTGCTATGTATTGAGAATCAATGCTTTTTGCTCACAATTTGGTGATACGTAGCTCATAGACGGCTTTATGGACTGTCGTATGTTACATTATATTGCGACGAGATTAATCAAGATTTGCATTTGTGTGAGCACATTCTAAAATGAACCGTCAAAAGATCTTCTCTAAATGACAAATAAACAAATTTAATTACATTACTTTGTTTTTATTTCGCTGTTGGTGATTAATTTAATAGTTTCTATAAATTAATTATTTATCAGATTTATTCATCTAGTGAAGTACTCGTAACTTTGCATTACTTTAATATAAATTAACCCAGGTTAAATAAGATTACTAGTCTGTATGTGTATGGGATGTTTTTACCCTATTGAATATCGCAATCATTTTATTATGATTATTTTTTGCATTGTGAAAAATGAACCATCAAATTTTTGTAGGTAAAAAATAGCTCGCCAGGTTTAACTATGAGATTTTTAGAAGCCCATAAACTTTTTTTACCAACGGTATCTTGAATTTTCTAAATCATTGCCTTTGTACTCGCACACACGCACATAATAGTTCTGTTTATCCTCCCCCTTTAGTAAGATATTGAAACCGATAATTCATAAAACCAAAATATCGCAATTCACAAAAGTTTTTATCTTATTAATGTTGTTGTTGAATCAAAACATATATAGTTTTAATCATGAAATTTCCCTACGGGTACCTGGCGTGAAACAAACCCCTGGGTATTGCATCGAGCTGTTATTGTTACCTGTAGGGAAATCAATGGAGCATATTCGGGAATCGAATTTGTTTCTGTATTGGATATTATAACTATTCCGATTACGTTGAATTCCCTGTTTTGGGAACAAAAGGGAACGATTGGAAAAAATGTAATACAATTTTTTGCGTGATGTGTTGTTTTATTTATTCAGTTTCAGAAAGACGTTTGTGAGTTTATTCGTAATTTACGCTACATCAGTATGTTTCTCAAATAAGTATATTTCTGAATAAGTTCATACTGATAAACAATCATCACATCACATCAACAGTCTTTAAAGGTCCACTGCGGCACATAGGCCTCTTCTTAGAAAGGAGGTTTGGCCTGCTGTACCAAGCTGGCCTGGGTTGGTATTCAAGATTTCGTTCTCTTTGCAGTGCTCTTGTCCCGCGTAGTTTGCTCCCTTAGTTGACTCTTACGACACCCACGGGATGAGTAGGGGTACTTCGCATTCTGAATCCGTTGCCACACGGATAAGAATATAATTATTTTATATTTTGATAATAGATACGGGTACCGCATCTGTCTACGTTCAAAACAATAGTCGTAACCCGTAGTTTTCCTGCTGTGGATCTAAGGGTCGACGCGTGATTTCTTGCGAATCCGGAGTGTTGAACCTCCGGTAGCCTCGCTCACTCGGTGAAATGCAAAACGAACGATATTACTCAACACCGCTTTTCTATGAAACCATGGTATCACTGTGGTCGAATCGGCCCATATTTGCAGGCATGACTCTCATTGAACGTGATGTTACGTAGTATATATACCATGTCATAACATGCCATCCAATACAAAAAGATTTATCTATAACATGTATGTATTTAGAAACCTATAAGTAAGTTTATCAGCTGTCTGTTTACAATAGTACAGGCTCTACCTAGTTTGGTATCAGACTGCCGTGTGTGAACTTATTATTAAAACCTTTTGATGAAAAGTGAAAAATGGTCGAAGACTTTTTCAAATATTTTAACATATAATCATTGTTTGTATAATTCCTGAATAGAATCGAGACTCAAAAGAACGACATAATGAATAATTCTATCATTAATTTATTGAATTATACTTCCTGTTTGGTTCCATTCAAATTTAAAGTAAATACTAAAAGTGGAACATTAAAGAATGAATAATACAGTTTATCATAACTCGTCATGATGTGGGCGCATTAAAGTTAACAATTTGACTCAAATCGATTTAGTGGATGTCATAATAAAGTTTAGAATTAATTTTTAACCGTTGATTCTCTCAAAAGCTAGTTTTTCAATTACGTTATTACTTAAGGAAACATTTGTTAATTGTGTTGATCTAGTTTAGTCGTGTCCAACACACGCTATTGGTGACAGCGGTAAATTGAAAAACTTTTGTCCGAGTATCCGTCATATGCTCCCTCGGATATACCCTTAATCTTACGCGACACTTCCGTCATATGATGTGGGTTTCCCTATTATAGCCTAGTCCATGGAACAAATCAATAGGTATATAAATAAAATTTAATTAGCTTTAACAGTTTATGATTTCTGTAATTACGTACAACACATACATACATACACTCATAGGGTAGGCAGAAGCGTATTACACGTCGACATTTGGACGTGTATAATTTTAATCCCACTTATGAACAGGCGACAAACATATTACCTTATATTGAAACGAAAAATAGAATAAGAAGGTAAAGCAATGGTATGAAAAGGGATAAAGTTTATACAGATGGATTAGGTAATGTAACAAAACTATTGTATAATGCTATTAAATAAGCAAGTTTTTTCCAGCATCTAAAAGGCTCGAATGACAATGGAGGAATGAGGAATCCTCACTGCGCTACTTGACACGGCTGCAGTAGCATTTATTTAGAGGCCGCTACACGAATGCTAACGACTGCTTTTAAACCTGGCATTCGTCTTTTTATTCTGTATTCTTCTTTTATGTAATAAATTAAATCATAACAATGCTAAACTTATATTTTGGTCTGACAAAAATAATATAGAAAATTTAACGTGTGACACACTTTGTACCTATCACCATACTGTGCTCTCTGACCTAGCAATATATTCAATAAATTAACTTTAATGAAATTTATTATTACGAAAAAACCTTAACTGATTTGATTCAAGTCAATAAAATACTTCTAACATATAAAAAACGGCGTGATGGGTCTATGGACTCCCGGTCGGAACGAAGTTCCTTTCGCTTTTTGGTAGACGTTTGCTATAGTGTCGGAAAAAAGTCTTGTTACATATTTTTTGGTCTCGCTCCCACCTGCTCAGAGCGTGTAACGCGATAAGGAACTTCATTCCAAAAATGCTCAATGCGAGAAATGCTCTTACAGCGAGTTTTCAACATATACACTCTTCGTCAGTTTCTATTGATGTTGCATGATTAAATCTTTTCGTGTGCACGTTTGACCATCGATATTGGAGTTAAGGCAAGGTCCTAACGTCTTAGAAATAGATTTAGTTCTATATTCATTCATATAACACTCACGCAGTAACGTTTACATCAGAACACGTTTGTGGTTTTAATTTTATTATCGGTGTAACAGATCCGTTCAGTTGAATAAATGAGTCAATAGAATGAATATGCTGTTAAAAACAAAAAAAAATGGAAATTAGTTATAGTCGTATATTATATTTATGCAGGACGTGCCGATTAAGCACCTCCTCGCCTCGGGTGATTTTTGCCCTTATCGTAAGGTGAAAAGTGGATTGAAAAAGACTGAAATTAAATAAGAAGTTGAAATCTTTTCAGTATTTTAGGAGTTAATCGCGTTTGGATAGATATACAGATGCGGTGGGGTACATTTAAAAAAAAAAGAAAAAACATTATTTTAAAATTTGAAGTGAGTCACATGAGTAGTTTTGTTTCTTTATTGTCATTTTTTTTTCATCTCGTAAATAAATAATAAGGCTTAGTTGTATTTGGTTTTCAGGATTTTCTTTTTCTTTTTTTTACGTAGCGATTTTATTTTCTACTTATTGACAATAGTATTTTTTTAAATTCTAACCAACCTTACCCTATGTTATTTTATGTTTTACCGCGGTTGCATTGTTCTGCGACGACGTCATCTCGCAGAAGGAGGCGGCAGAGGGGGTTCGTGGAGGATGACCCAAGGTGACGGCCCGAGGGGGTCTCCACACGTAAAAAAATATGTTTTGTAAATGTTTCCACCTTTTTTTAATAACATTTCATAATGATCAGTTTGCTTTGGCTGTTTTTTCGTTGCGCAATTAAAACAACAAGTTTCATAAATACCTCAATTCACTTTAGGCTAAAAGTACAGCCACAATATTTTAACACAAATGATTATTTCTTCGTGAAATCTCAATGGAAGAAAAGCTATACTCGCCCTTAAGGGCGAGTATAGCTTAGTCGGTGGCACGTCGCAAGCCTTATTCTGCGGGCTGGTCTACGTAAATGGATTGAAGTAATTTACCCGACGTCTTTCGTGAGAGAACCCCTACTAACAAAGTGGTTTAAAATTACTACATACTACGCTATTTTTTAGTGGTTCATACCACACACAAAACTTATTTGGGTGTAAAGGTGAGCGTAGATCATTGGCGGTCCGAGGGAATACTGTTTATTGGCCTGCGGGTTCAATGCAACAATATCTTTAGGATGCTGTTGCTGCGGAGAGCGTTACGTAGCACTGCTTTTATAGAACATGGATATCAACTAGACAAGTAGTACCGAAGTACTCTCCAAGACAAAACAAAAACGGCCCAACTCGATGCGTTTCTCTTGTTTAGTTAAGAAGTTCCTCTGGGTGTCTTGCGGCTCCACCACCACAATCTTGATAATTAATTAAAATGTAATAGCAAAAATATCACGAGTAAAATTAAATAATATGATCAGGCTTGCCTGGTCATTATACGTATCGACTTCTATTGTATCGGACAGTCTTATCTAGATGCAATCATCCTCAGGATGCCGTTGCTACCGCCTCTCACTCTTCTTAATAAGGAAGCTACTTTTACACATACGTGATGTACTGCAGTGTGGAGGCAGCCGCATCAGCATTCT